AAAACAATTTTTATATAACCATTGGGTCTAAAGTACTTCCTTTCTGATCTACAGGGTGTTAAAGATTAAAAAAAAATCGATATTTTGTTTAAAATAAATGGTACACTACTGCCTTTTTAAAGAAAATATATTTTTTTCTTGACTGGTCATCCTTTTTCAACAAAATTGATCTTTTGAGTTTTTCTTGTTCATCAAACGGTTGCCGAGAAAAAAATAAATATACTTATTAAGAGCCTGCCTTAAGCCGTTTTCTAACGATTTTTTATTTTTTAGATTAATTAGGAAACACCCTGTATATGCATATCACAGGCAACCAAATAAACTAGTAACCTCTAAAAATTATTTTTCCTACCACTAGCGACATACCGTGTTTTTAGTGAGTACTAAATTATTTTATCAAAATTTCATCATATAAGTTTCCAGGCAATGCTCATAACTTACCTTAGCTTGTCAACCTATGATTTTGTAAATGTCATATTGTATTTCCTAAACGTTAGGTGTTTGTAACAAGTTTTAAATTACAAAAAATCATTTCGGGCACACCTAACCCTTTATAGGGCAGTACTAATTATTTTCTAGTTTGATCAAATTGACTTCAAAAATATATAAACTAGCACAAAGGGAGCATATATCTTCTTAATAACATTTTTCAAAAAGTTAACAAATAAGGGAGTGAGGGTGATGTTAGGAAAGCAAATAGATAATTTTAATGATCTAATGTATATGTTACTGTAAACGTCCGAAATGCGGTAAAACCTAGGATAAGCGCGCTAAACCTAGGATTTACCAAAAGCATGTGGTAAAAGCCCGAAAACTATTTATTTTGCTTCCATCCTTCACAACCAAACCAAACCAAACAGTAAGCCCGTGGTTACATTGGATGCGTGTCGGTGCGTTTTCTTGGTCGTACGTGCACGAACGTGCACGCAACAAAAAACAAACAAATGCTATCTACGCAGGCGGTTACGCATCGGAGCTTGCGCGTCCGTGCACGTACGTCTATTACCGTTGATCGGATGAAAAAATCCTGGTTTGTTTTTTTAATACGTGCACGTCCGAGCGTTCGAATTTTTCTTCTCTGGTCCCAATACATTCCCGAAAATTTAAATATTTTTGAATAACAGGTGTAATTTTATTAAATGTTGATGGATAAATCCTAAAATATTCAAAAAATTTGACCGGTTTCTGTCTTAATTCACGAAATGTTTTACATATTTATTTTATTGTCCTCTTCTTGCATATAAATCTGTGGTTATTTGCCAAAAGCTGATATGTCGATTTTCATCATTTTGCATGTATGTATAACATAACAGGTTTCTCCCAAAACTGAAACAGAGTTAAAACAGATATCAAGTAATGACCACATTAGATGCATGCTTATTTTTAAATATTGAGATATCATGTTTTGCCAAACACAAAATTTGGTCTATTTGACATACCAAGGTGACAAAATCTCAATATTGATGAAAAGTGACATATCAGCTTTTGGCAAATAACCACAGAAATAATTTACCGAACATTTTCTTCTTATCATGAGTAGTTATTTTAACATTATATTCTCACACAGCATCAAAGTAGTGGCGCTTGTTTTGACAAACTCGACACTCAGGACACCATGAACGAGCATCTAATGTAACCACTATAATAAAATAGTCGTGCGAGTAAATTCCGTCAGAGCTCGCACGTATAAAAAACGCACGGACCCGCGTCCAATTTAACCGCGAGCCTTAGGATTTACCACACCGCATTGGTAAAAGTACGAATAAGCAAGTGGTAGTAAAAACCAACCAACCCCACTAAATAACCACCTAACCAATGCATTAACACCCTCCAAATAACGAGACAAACCAATGCATTATTACACCCATATTGTTGCTATAAGAAAAATAATTTGTACTTTTACCAATACTGTGTGGTAAATCCTAAGATTTAAATCCTAAGATTCAGATTTACTGTTTGGGTCCGTTTGGAAAAAGTCCAAAATGGAAGCAAAATAAAGAAGTTTTCGAGCTTTTACCACTTGTTTTTGGTAAATCCTAGATTTAGCGCGCTTATCCTAGGTTTTACCGGCTTTCGGACATTTACAATGACATACCTATATAATGTATGAACTGTATGCATCATTCAGTGTAAGAAAATAGAGTAAACCATTTTGATTATTTCTGTTACCTCTTTAAATCAAGTTTTGTTTTTCGAGAAACTCGCATCTTATGATCCAAAATATACAGGATATGTTAACGATTTTAAAAAATATCATCGGAGCATGGAAATTTGGTGCACTAAATTAGAAATAAACGTCACAGATACATTTCATTCTATATTTTTAAATTTTTATCATACGAAATTTGCATAGAAAATGCTTAGACTACAAATATTACTTATATAATATGATACACAGCGAACTCAGTCTCACCAATGCTCACTGGTCGAATATTCAGCCGCTTACTTAGACTTTTAGCGCCAATTCGACAAATGTATAGATATGGTTGATTAAATGGCCAAAGCGCGCATAAAAATAAGCATAGCAAACAAACTGGGCGATAATACGCTTCCACGCGACTGATTAGTTGGTTAAATTAAAGTGGTCGATTTAGTGACCACAATGCTATAAAGGGTTAAATGTAGGTACTATAACGTGCGTAAACAGCACACCAAACTGATAAAATCATTGGTTGAGGAATTATGGCATGTTGACATTTGTCTGGTTTTGCATTGTAACCTGTTCAGTTTTAATTTAAGAATAGATGCAGTTTTTCTTAAATTAGTCAAAAACGGCTTATCTAAAATTGTTCAAATTTGGCACGACTTTCCTGTAAAATCAACAGGGGATTCAATATTTGGACAGTTAAATTTTACAAAGAATTTCCTATGATACTAACGCCGCGCCGATGCCACCACCCGGTATGTTTTTAATGTTTTAATAGGTATGTTTTGGGTAGCCAATAAATATCTAATATCACCAGTTAAATTATGTGAAGCTTTTAGATATAAGTAGTTACCAATCATATGCAGAGAAATTGTGTTCAATGGAGCTCATCAGTAGGAAAATATTGAAAAGCATATTTCTATAAATATGTACAGGGTGGCCCCTCTCATACGCTACAGGGTGAACACTCTATATATAAATTGATTTTAGGATTCTGGGAGAAAAATAAAGGTAAGTTTTATAATAGAAGAATATGACTAAAATGTAAGGTTTTTGATATATTTAACATTTTCTATAAATAAAGAACAAATTTTAAATTACAATAAAACTACCTCAATTGGAATTTACCCGGTATAGCCTAATATGTAGTTAAATTAACTATTGTACTTTAAATCAAATTAAAACTTGATCCAAAAAGTTATACAGGGTGAAACAAAATTAATATTGAACACTGGTCATCTTTAAAAGCATGTTAGTCTTTTATTTTAAATGGAACACCCAGTATATTATTCCGATATTCAATGGAGAATTTATGTCTCTTCAAAATACTATTAAGGTTGCCTACCACTCAAACAAAGATTTTCCTAGATATTTTCATTTACATTATTTAATCTGAGTAGATCTTAATTATTTGATAAAATCTAGGTGGCTGTGATATGTCTGACGTTACTTCAGCATAGCTGTCTAATTAGTCCAACTTTTTGTGTCAGTTAATAATTTTGTGTAATTTAAAACAAAAAAATTCTCAGAAATTTGCCGAAAATGGAAACTTATCCTGCACCAGAGAGAATTGATATGATTCTATTAGTTTGTGAATGCAGTGTGCATTCACCAATTAATAGAAAACTTAAATGCTCCTCCTTTTATCTAGTCTGTTTTTTTTATGGGGATATATTAAAGACAGTGTTTACAAAACTATTGTCGACAACATGAGAGAAATTATTGTAGTTGCTTTTCGAGGTAGAACTCCTCATAAAGTACGCCTTTTAAAATAAAAAAATCCTTTTGAAAAGACCATCAGTTTATGCAGTTAACAGGAAAGGAAACATTTTGAGCATTTGATTTCATCTAGCTAATTTGTGTCACATAATTATAGGTGTATATCTAGTTTTTATTCTGTAATAATTAAAATAATGTTTTAAACGTGTATCTTTTCATTACCGTTGAGTATTTTACTCTACAATCTTTAATTTTTGTTAAATTAACAAAATCTACATCACACAACCACCCTAGATTTTTTCAAATAAAAATCTACTGACGCAAAATCATAAAAATTAAAATATTTAGGAAAATCTTTGTCTGAGGGGTAGGCAACCTTAATAAGATATTGAAGATATATAAATTCCCCATTGAACACCGAAAAAATATACTGGGTATTCCATTTAAAATAAAGGAGTAACTTGCTTTTAAAAGTGACTAATTTTGTCTCATCCTGTATAACTTTTCGGATCAAATTTCAATTTAGTTTAACATACAATAGCTACTGTGATTAAATGTCATGCTATACAAGGTCAAGTAAAATTTAGGTAGCTGTTACCGAAATTTAAAATTTACTCTTCATTTTCACCAAAAGTGAAATATGTCAAAATCCTTAGATTTTAGGTATATGCTACTTTAATAAAACTCATCTTTATTTTTTTCCTAGATGTATAGGGTGTTCCATTAGGAAATACAAAACTTTGATGTGTAACTTTTTTTGGGGACACCCTGTAAAAATACTTTCAGTTAACCTACATATGCTGTCAAAATTTCATTTCGATATAAACTACCGTTCTCATTGGAGCTTCCGCGGCATATGAGAGGCGCCACCCTGTATTTCAATCATAAATAAGAAATGCTTTTAGGTCAAATAATTTGATGTTGGTTGTTGGATAATTTATTCTTTATCTTGAAGCTTTACTCATATGTGTCCATTCTCAATGTTTGATGTCCTACAAGATAACAATGGTCACTTTATGTGTCTTGCAGAATAAAAATTCTAGAATAATTAATTACAGGCAGTGCAAGTTTAAACAGGCATTGTTTAATTATTACTATTAGAAACGTTAGTATCCTGAATTTCATAATTTTATAGGATATTGAACATTTCGCAAAGGTTCGAAGAGATATGGACGTTGATGTGTCAACTGTATGTTACGAGACAAGTTTACATGTCAAGCATCTACCTGAAAATAGAGAGAGCTACGTCACCAGTGTTTTTCAATTTATTAACAAATGTCTGAACGGTATTAAGTGAACTTAGGATCTCTTAGCATTTTTCCAGGCTTTAAATATAAAATGTAATTTATTAGAAAATTATTTGTAAGACCAAAATATTTGTTAAAATGTTTTAAAATTATCTAGACCAAACAATGTATAGTATATTTGATCAAAATTTTGTGAACATTAATGTGATGAACTCATTAATATTGAATACTTACACTTGAGAATCACGAAATAACACACTATGTTTGTATACAGGGTGAGTTTGCTACGATGTTCTCTATGGGTATCTCGGAAACTACTGGAGATGGAGAGTCGGTTAAATGGGGAAAGAATTGCAGTTTTGTGAGTTCATAAATATGCGCCTTTCAGATTTTTGAAAAAGTTCATGGCTTACTATATATTTCGAAAAAAAAACAAAATTTGGCTATTTCAAAAATTGTCTCTAACAAAAATTGCCTTCCATTATAATCTATTTTAGACAAAAAGTTTTCAGATAAAAGTTGTAAATAATCACATCCCTAATGAGTTTGTGTTCTCCATTTTTTTCTAAAGCCTGTCATTTTTGACATATGACACAAACATATGTTTTTTTAAATGGAAATCGTAATTGGCCATGACATAAAAAGTTATTCCCTTAATGAAAGAAAGGTTAAAAATTATTTATATCATAATTATGCAAACTCAGGGATCGGAAGAGGTAGGCCAATAATTGCATGGGCCTCCTCGATGAATTAAGAGAGGCACTCGAAGTTTTAGTTAGCGTAATGTAAATTGTAAAGAACCGTTTATTAATATATTCTGTCTTTTTATAAGTTATAAATCATCACAGAATAAGAATAATATGCCAACTAAGTAAAATTAGTCAAGAAAGATAAGAATTGGCCATAAGCCAGTAATTTTTCGAAATAAACACACTAAGTATACCTTATATCGCCGAAAAGTTTTTTGTGTTATATGTCAAAAATAACAGGCTTTAGAAAAAAATAAAAAAAAAACACAAACTCGTTAGGTATGTGATTATCTACAACTTTTATCTGAAAACTTTTTTGTCTATAAAATAGATTATAATGGAATTAGGGACAAGTTTTAAAATTGGCAAAATTTTTTTTTCGAAATATCTAGTAAGCCATGAACTTTTTCAAAAATCCGACAGGCGCATATTTATGACCCTACAAAACTGTAATTCTTTCCCCATTTAACCGACTCTCAATGTCCAGTAGTTTCCGAGATACCCATAAACTCACCTTCTATAAAAGAGGCTAAACTGAGTTGTAAGAAAATCAGTTATTTAGATGTTATTAAATAGAAAAAAATCTTATATTTAAATACAAATTTTAGCCATTTTTTTTCTTATGAAATTTTGTTAATAAAATATTATAAATTTATGTTAATATTCTAAAAATTAATGTCGCCGAATTTTTTAACATTAATAGTTTAATAAAAATGTACGATGTATAAAAAAAATGTTTTTAGTTATTTACAAAATAAATCCTTTTATATCCTTAAGTTATATTATGCGATGAACTAAAATCTCAATTATGTATTATCATAATATGTTATATAGGGGTGCGTCTCAAAAGTGACTCACCCCTATAACTTTTTTATTTTTTCAGATTACAGAACAAGATTTGGTATGTTAGTATATATGACATAAATTAGGATTAATTAACTTTTTTCCAAATATGCCAATGAGCCACCCTCGTTCTATTTGAAGAAAATTGAGATACCATTAAAAATACGATTTGAACATCTTCTAACCGGCTAGGATAAAACTCTAAAAACATTATATGATCAAATATATTTTCCAAAGATCCTTGACGCCCCCTATAGGTAGGAGCCATACTGACATTGAAATCAAATTTTTCATGTCAAAAAATACCCTAACACCAATTTTCACCCACATATCGACAAGTTCAAAGATTATTGGAAAAAAATCGAAATAAAAATGCAATTTCTACACCCTGTACGTATCACCAAAAAAGCATTTTAGGACATAAATCTATACGAACTTTTATAATTATTTTTATCTGCAACATATGCTGCCGTAGTTATAGACTAACTTTTAGTCTGTGGTGTAACAAACTACGAAATCAAAAACCCTACAAACTTTAATATCATTCAGTTTATTTTATTAATGATACTACTCAGCGTATCTCAAAGACTTGTGATAAAACTTCATTAATCGTTAAGCACTTCTAAAGGAGGGCAGCTGTAATGCCTAATATTCCTTGGCATAATCATTCCATGTTGGTTCTTGGCACACTTTTTTACATAAAACACAACTGCCTTTACTAGATCTTCTGGCACTATACCACCAATACCCGGAATTGCTTCAACAAATACATCTTCGTAAGGTCTCTGAAAATTTAAAATAAATTTTAAATATTCCAGCGTTACACATACGCTTCGTCCTACGTGAGAGACAAAAGCGAGCGAGCAACGCGTGCGACAGCAGAGGGCGATGAGCGCGACTCGCGCGACATATTTCAGTTGCCTGCGATGCCGCTTCAGTCGTGCGACTCTCCTACCTAGGACAGCTTCGTAAGAAAACGTTATTTGATAAATACGCGTCGCTCGCACCGCAATCGCGCGCTTTTGTCCCCCACGTAGGATCAAGCGACAACAGCGGACGATGCGAGCAACAAGTATTTTTTCAAACACCTTTTTCTTCTGAAATCGTCCTGCGTCGGCAATGCAGGACACCTTCATAAGCATAGATAACAGACCTAATTCATAAGTTACATAAAAAATGATTAATTGTTCATAAGAAAACGTTTTTTGATAAGGTCGCGTCGCTCGCACCGCACGAATCGCCCCCGTTTGTCGCCCACGTAGGACGAAGCGATAGTACCTACTATAAAGTATTTTTAAATCCAACAAACTTTAATACTAAATTATTTTTTAGTAAAGTTCCAGACTTGCATATACACGGTGATTCACGGCCATGGGAAATTTGACGTTTATGGAGAACCTTATTAAGATCTTTATTATATTAACATATTAAATTAATGCATGGAACACCCAGTATACCGGGTGCGTCTCAAAAGTGGCTCACCCCTATAACTTTTTTACTTTTTCACATAATGAAACGAGATTTGGTATGCTAGTATATGACATAAATTAGGACTGATTGACGTATTCAGTTGTTTTTCAGGGTCACTTCCCGTTTCACCGGAAAAGAACTACATTTTTTGATTTTTAAATGGCACCCCCGGTATTTTTTACTTTATTCGATAGAAAATGACACTCTGAATAAAATGACAACTTTTGGCATTTTCTCATATGGTTTATTTTAAATTGTAACATGCAGTTCATAACGATAATTTGACTCGAAATACCAAGTGTGTGGTACCAAATTATTCGCAAAAAATGCTTTTTCCAAATTTGCTAATTAGCCACCCTCGTTCCATTTGAAAAAATTGAGATATGGTTAAAAATACGATTTGGGCATCTTTTAACCGTCCAAGACAAGACACGAAAAACATTTTCTCAAGGCCATGATACACAGCCATGGCACACTAGATTGAAATTTAAAATACGATTGTTTTTAAAGCAAAAATGTCAAAAGTTGACATGTGATATGTCATTCTATTGAGAGTGACATTTTCTATGGAATAAAGTAAAAAAATACGGAGAGTGTCATTTAAAAATCAAAAATTGTAGCCATTTCCGGTGAAACAGGAAGTGACCAAAAACAATTGAATACGTCAATCAATCCTAATTTGTGTCATATACTAACATACCAAATCTCGTTTTTTTATCTGTAAAAATAAAAAAGTTATAGGGGTGAACCACTTTTGAGACGCACCCGGTAGATACGGAGATAGAAAAATAGTTTCCATAAATATTACGGTACTAACATACCGGATGTTCCATTTAAATGATAAAATAAAAAAAAACAAAGGTGCCACCTCTTTTCAATGTATGTACTAAAGTACTCTCTGAAAATATTTTTGATAGACGGAACAGGTAAATTATTAGCTTTATGCAAAAATCCGCACTTTAAAAAATATGTTATCACCAGCTCTCTATAAACGTCTAACCTACAATCGCCTTAGAATTGCCGATATGCAAGATTAGATTGCTGTTTTAGTTCAGTAAGCAAGAATAGATATCAAAATTATTTCAACAACGTCGAAATGTCTTGAACAATACACTTGCTTACTTTATCTCCTTCTTCAATTTGACTATCGGTGCTGGTATCACTTTTTGATTTCTTTTCCCCAATAACTTTAAGCTTATCACTTGAACATTTCATTATTTCACTTCCCATAAAATGCTTTACACCTAGAAGAATGGGTAATTGTCAACAAATTGTCAGATCAGTAGGTATTTGTGTGTCTTAAAACTTTAAATCAGCTCGATTTTGTAATAATTTGTATAATCTGTTCAACGACAAAATCATTGACAGTGATAGATGTGTCTGTCATTTTAATTTCAAAGTAGTTAATTTTATTTTACAAAGAAATAAGTTGGTGCAATTGGAACGCATAGCAGAAAGTTAATATATTTAAAATTTGAATGACAAGTGATTACCTCAAATTATTGTGAAAAAAAATGTCTCTGTGAAAAAAAGTGAAAATGTCTCAGTGAAAAAAAATGTCAAATTATTGTGAAAAAAAATGTCCTCTATAAAACTGAAAAAATCTAATCGAGATATTTTATTTAAAAAAAATTATGGTATGTATTAATACAAAACAAACATGGGTGTATTTTAAATAAAACATCACCATCCACATACCAAAAAAATATAAAAAGATTTCTTACTTTCAAACTCTAGCAACTTACATTTATCAATATAATACAAATAAAAAAAATATTGCAAAGGAATAAATAAAACACAACATAAATGAAACAAAATATTTTATTAATAATAACACTTACTGAATTTTATACCTTAAAAGTTGGTTAATTAACTTCAATCCTCATTTTTTTAAACCAGTACCTTTACTATCTTTTGACATTATCTCTCTGCAGTACTAAAATTTATTATTTACCTATCGTGCGATGTTATTTTACAGATACTCCAGTTTTGGTACCATATACGAGATGGTACAAACTTTATTTGTCTAATACAATTCTCTAGGCATAGTCTCCTCAAAACTGTGTCTGTAGCGGCCTCTGGACACCGAATATTAATTATAAGCTATGGTCTGGGTCAACACTTAATTTTCCCTCGTGTTGACCTCCACTTAATTTTAAACAACACGAAACACAAGTCCAAAATGCAAAGTGCAAAATATTTATAATTTATATTTGACATAATTTGACACAAAATTATAACCTATAATTTGGCAAGAGTTTGACAACTCTCAAAAATTTCATAGAGTTCATACTGGTTCATACGCATCGGCGCGGCGTCCCTTTATCGTTCATCGTTCCATTAAACCAATAGTAGTGAAATATGATCTGTCATTTTTTAAATAAACCAATAAAACTGGTTAAAAACAACAAGACGGATTTATATATAAACCCATCCATAGTTAACTTAAAAAATATTTGAGTAACGGAGTAACGCAACGATGAACGATGCATGGACGCGGAAGCGTATATCGTGCGTATATGAACTCGCTTGCCAAACTATAGGTTATAAATTTGTGTCACATTATGTCAAATAACCTGCGTTTGAGAAGATTTTAAACATTTGCGAATTGTTTTTGCATTTTGGTTCGTGTTATTACGTGTGTTTTGCGTCTTTTAAAGTTAAGGGCTCGAACACACTGACGACCAGGTCGCACCGGCCAAGCCGCTGCTACCTCTAAAACCATTATTTCAAATGATACGGCGCACATTAACGTCCTGGCCGTCCGTTGGTCGTTGCGACCAGTAGACTGCACTAAAATATTATTACTTTCTGCCGCTTGTTGCCGTTTTTCTTCCAAATTAATAATTTTTCAGATAAAATCCCTCAAATTCAACGCACAATATTTTATTTTCTATAAGATATAGTGTTTTAGTGTAGTTTTTGCACACGTGCAGAAAATCCAAAGAAATAGAATACAAACTGGATCAAAGGGAAACTTAAATCTAGTCCTTTTTTATCAAGGGTCGATTCTAGTAGAAATTCAAAACATTTTTATATGGCATACCTACTCTATTTATAGTTAATATGATACCTGTTATTATACCTTCGAGTTTCGATGTTAAAAAATAAAAAAAAAATCATATTTAAAGTTTTTCTACAACCACTTTTTTTTATTAAATTAGTTTTTTTAGTTGTATTGCAGTCATGTACAAGGAGGATAACTATATTTTAAATATTATATTTAATTTAACGTTTTTCAAACAGGGTTCATTTGACTATATTTCTACTAGGTACATTATTTTTAGATAAAAATTAAGAGTAAAAGTAACTTAAACATTCATAAAAATAGAAGTAATTACTATTGTAGATTCTCAGTAACAATAAAAAAGGGGAATTTATATTGTAAACATTGAAATAACTGGAAGCTAAACTTTCTACCTGCTTATATTTAAAGCCAGTGTCTGACCACCTTTTTTAACGATGGCCCTAATATGTTTACTTCTAAAGTCGATAAGAGCCATCAGTAGAAGTCCATATCAGTAGAAAAAAGAAACAGAATATCTCCCTTTTTGTAGGTCGCGCGTACACAATGCTTTTTGTTCGGCCTATTTGTTCTGCTTGTTCGTGCGCGCTCGGTTCGTTTGGGCTAAAATGCTCAAGTCTGGACGCACCTTTAGGAACAATACTGTTTTTATCCTTTATTGCTATAATGCTGAAAATCTCTCGAGTTACATGTCTCACTCTACACATATATTAAATTACATACACGTAGGATGTAGAATATTCTGTTATGAAACGACTGATGGAATAGCAAGCATCGCTGATTTGAAAAACATGGAAATAACGGGGTTGGAGATTTTACTTGTCCCATTTACCACACCAGTATTTATTAGCAAATTTTACTCAGTCGGGGTTGGAGATTTTACTTACTTCATTTACCCCACCAGTATTTATTAACGAAAAATCCAAGAATATTTTAAATGCCTTATTTAATATTAGAACATTTAATAAACTCATGAATAGCAATGTAACGTTTTTAGTTCGTTACATGTCTTTTTTACATATGATATATGATGTCTGGCTTATCATCACCGGATTCCCTCTCGTTCAGGCCGGATAGTTTATTTGACGCGTAATTTTTACGTTCCCTAGTCGCCAACCCTGTTATCGTTCGACACAACCCTGTTACTATTCTGTGGAGGCGCGCGCTGTCAACGTCGCTTCTATCAACTCTCTCCGTGCTTAACCTCACTTTGTTTTGACTCTCTGTTGTATCCCAGCTTTTAGAAATGGTTGTGGCCGTTGCGGGTAGCAAATTAGGCACACTAAATAATTAAGTCATTTAATTAACTCGATCAATTGTTACAAACTAAATAACTATTACAAAACATAAGAATTCGGTTTCTTGGCGCGAAACGTGAATGTTGAAGGTCGAATGTCTATCCACAGAATAATCCTTCCTCTTCCTCGATTGACAGATATCAGCTGGACGGCCATTCAGGGTTGTTATTCTCCTCCCGTGGAACCAACCAATCTGTGGCGGGCACTTGCTACCTTCGGAAGTCTGCCACAGGGCTCCCCCCCAGTGAGGAAGCCACTGGTTGCGAACGGTTCTGCTGGCATACGTTGAGCAGCAAACGGTTGGCGTATGAATGTTCCTCCGCCAGTTGATGAGATGCTGGAACATATGCTGCCTTCCAGTCGATCCATGGAGACTCGTTGGGGAACATTCTGGACGTCCACCGTTAGGAACTTGTCATCTCGTTCCACAACTCTGTACGGGCCGCTATATGGAGGTGTCAATGGAGGCTTCACCTTGTCGTTACGTATGAAGACATGTGTAGTCGTCTGTAGGTCGGGATGGACATAGGCGGTGCGAACTGAGTGGTTGCTCGTTGGTACAGGCCTCAATGCTCCCATGGTCTCACGGAGTCGTTGAACAAATCGGTGTTCGTCAGTTGGGGTAGCACTTGGAACAAATAGCTGTCCAGGGAGGCGAACTGGTGCACCAAACACTAAATCGGAGGCTGTACAGGCGATGTCCGGTTTGAAGGTGTTCCGTAGGCTCAGCATGACGAGGGGAAGAGCTTCGACCCAGGATACGACGTCAGCAGCGATGAGTGCAGCCTTGAGGGTTCGGTGAAAGCGTTCGATACATCCATTTGATTGTGGGTGATAAGCAGTCGTCTTTATGTGCTGTACACCAAGTGCTGTGTTGAGCTGGCGGAACAACTGGCTCTCGAATTGTCTGCCTCTATCTGTAGTAATGGTCGCTGGCACACCAAAGCGGGATATCCATCCTTCGAGGAGTTTTTGTACCACTACTTCAGTAGTTATCTCACAAATAGGGATAGCCTCAGGCCATCTCGTAAATCGGTCAATGATCGTGAGTAGGTATCGAAAATTGTCACTAGGTGGAAGTGGTCCCACAATGTCGATATGTATGTGGGCAAATCGTTCGTCAGGCATTCCTAGTGGTGTCACCGGTGTAACAGTATGACGTCCTACTTTGGCCCGCTGACATTGAAGACACTCTCTGGACCACTGCTTGACTTGACGGTTCATATTATGCCACACGAAGCGTTCGGCGATCATTCTCAGCGTAGCAGCGTGTCCAGGGTGGGACTGGGTGTGGAACTTCAAGAAAACATCCCTCTGGAAGGTCGCCGGCACGTACACACGTACACGTCCATCTTGGATTGAACAGTATAGGGGTCGTTCGCTATCTGGTATGACAATGTGTTGAAGGTTTAAAGAGCTTGTGGGGTCCTGCAGAGCTTCTTGTAGACCTTCATCAGTTGTCTGAGCTTCAGCTAACCGGTCAAAGTCAATGGTGATGGGTGATGTTATTGCGTCTACCTCAGGTCGTGAGAGACAGTCGGCTACAATGTTCTTTTCTCCTTGGACATGTCGGATGTCTGTGGAAAATTGACCAATAAATTCCAGCTGGCGGATCTGTCGTGGAGATTGACGGTCATGTCGCTGCTGAAAGGCATACGTCAAGGGCTTGTGGTCAGTGTATATGATGAATGGCATGCCCTCAAGAAGGTAGCGGAAATGGTGAATACCGCTAAATATTGCCAACAGCTCGCGGTCGTAGGTACTGTAGTTACGCTCCGTCTTCGACAACTTCCGTGAGAAGAAAGAAATAGGCTGTAAGTGCTCACCAACAAGCTGTTGCAATACACCACCGATCGCGGTGTCCGAAGCGTCGACTGACATGCTCAACTGAGCATGGGGTGCTGGAAAAACCAACTCGGCAGCAGTAGCTAGGAGTTCTTTAACTCTGGTGAAGGCACTTGATGCTGCTGGGGTCAAGTTGAGGTCCTGTTGCTTTTTCTTTTGGTGGGAAAGTAGCTCGGTGAGTGGCATAAGCTCTTTTGCAGCATTCGGTAACCAGCGTCGATAGAAATTAACCATCCCTAAGAAGCGACGTAGCTGTTTGATGTTGTTGGTTGCGGAAAACTGCGAATAGCACTGACTTTAGCTGGCAGAGGCCTGACTCCAGTTGGGGAGACTGTGACGCCCAAGAAATTTGCCTCTCGTATCCGGAATTTGGACTTTTCTTTGTTGATTTGGAGTCCATTTGCTTCTAGGATCTGAAGAACTACTGCTAAGTGCTGCTCGTGTTCTGCTTCCGTCTCCGAGACTACCAGTATGTCGTCGATGTACACATATACAAATGAACACCCTCGGAAGAGATGGTCGAGGTACCGCTGAAGTGTCTGGGCGGCGTTACGTAAGCCAAAGGGCATACGTAGAAATTCGTACAAACCAAAGGTGTAATAACAGCCGTTTTTTGTACATCTTCTGGGCGGACTGGGATCTGGTGGAATGCATGTACAAGATCAATGGTAGAGAAAATTTTCTTTCCATGTAGCTGATTTGCAAAGTCCTGAATATGTGGCACTGGATAGCGATCAGGCTTGGTAATTGCATTTAACCGACGGAAATCCCCACAAGCACGCCACTGGCCGTTGGCTTTTGGACCATGTGAAGCGGGCTAGCCCATGGCGATTTTGATGGCTGAACAATGCCCATTTGTATAAGTTGATTGAATTCGGCCCGTGCAGCTTGTAGACGGTCTGGTGGAAGCCTGCGCGGCTTGGAGAACACTGGTGGGCCTTCGGTGTCGATATAGTGCTGGACTCTTCCAGGGTCGTCTGGTGCATCCGTTGGTCGGTCATAAGGATGGGCAGTAGATATTCCCACCTCCAACGCGCTTACTCGTCGAGACACACACGTAATGCTGCTTGGTATAGTTGGACACACAAGGCGCTTGTTTCGCATATCTACGGGTGAAACCATGGTGTACGAGGAAGTCAGCACCTAGGATGGCAGTAGTGACATCTGCAACAACAAAGGTCCATGTGACTGGCTGGCCAAAACCAAGGTCAAGTGTCAACTGTTTCTGCCCAAACGTTCTAATACAGGAACCAGTAGCAGAGTATAGGCGTATCATACTAGGTTTTGAAGCAGAACATGCTTTGCGTGGCAGCACACTTAAGTCGGCTCCAGTGTCAACGAGGAACTGCAGTTTTAGGGCTTTATCTGTGACGAAAAGGCGACGTGGTGCATGGGGGGGGCAGTGGTTGTCGCGATTACTGCGCCCCTCTTGATCGTTTTTGAGAAGGTACATGGTGCTCTACACTTCTTAGCTTGGGACCCACATCTCCTGTGATAGTAGCAGTGCCCGTCAGTTTTCTCGTCCACACTTACTTTGTTGTTTAACGCAGGCTTTCCGTCCATGGCCATGATAGGAAAACTAGAACATTGTATATATTTGTCAGCTTTCTTGGCCAATTCCTCCAGGTCTCCATCCAGGATTGCTATGACTCCCCGGGCTTGGGGTGGTAGGCGGTCTAACCAGAGTTTCTTTAGAACCTGCGTAGAAACGTTATTTGAGGCCAAAGCTTGCATTCGGTGGAGAAGCTGTGTTGGTTTAAGGTCGCCCAAGGTCATCTCCATAAGCTGGTGAATTTTGTCATCAGCGCTACTGTCATATCTCTCTAACAGTCTAGTTTTGAGGTCTTCGTAGGCCCTACCTCTAGTTGGATTTCGTAGTATGTCGGCTACCTCTAATAGGACCTCGCTGTTTAAACTTGTTACGGTGTGATCGAACTTGCAGTCATCAGATGTTATTTTGGCTTGCCTGAATTGGGCTTCCAGGCGTAGGAACCATAGTTCGGGCTCTGTGCGCCAAAACTCCGGTGCTTTAATCCCTACACGGGCAATAACGACTTGATCGTCGGTTTGGAAGTCGTTCGTGTCGGAGGTGGACATTGCGTATCTGAATTTGTTGCACTCACACGTTCGTCGGGGTCACCAATGTGGCCGTTGCGGGTAGCAAATTAGGCACACTAAATAATTAAGTCATTTAATTAACTCGATCAATTGTTACAAAACTAAATAACTATTACAAAACATAAGAATTCGGTTTCTTGGCGCGAAACGTGAATGTTGAAGGTCGAATGTCTATCCACAGAATAATCCTTCCTCTTCCTCGATTGACAGATATCAGCTGGACGGCCATTCAGGGTTGTTATTCTCCTCCCGTGGAACCAACCAATCTGTGGCGGGCACTTGCTACCTTTGGAAGTCTGCCACATGGTCATTATTTAAATCTTGCTGTATAATCTGAATCAGCTGCTATTTCAAAGCAACAGGTAAAGATGAAATATTATCCTTTTAGATTCGATATTATTATTGAATATTTTTAGGGTAGAGTTACGGATGTCCCAACTTGTATTTGTGTTTTGCTGGCACGTTGGCGTCCCTTTTCTTTTGTCCTCCAGAATGTCACATGGAAGAAAGGACATGTTTATTATTTATTAAGCCCTCGGAAGTATTTCGAGGTAGGTTTATTTTGTTTATTAGACCTTGTTTGGTTTTAAACAGGAGTTTCATATTTTTAGGGTCCAAGATACGGACTGTGTCCAAGGTACGGACTATTTCCAAGGTACGGACAGTGTCCAAGGTACGGACTGTGTCCAAGGTACGGACTATTTCCAAGGTACGGACTATTTCCAAGGTACGGACTGTGTCCAAGGTACGGGTAGTATCTTATGTATAGACATTATCTTATGTACAGATGTCCTGTGGACGAGTGTCCCCAGTAAGAACGATTTTTTCTTACATATAAGTGCCACAGCGTGGATGTAGCTTGAGTCCTATGCTGCTTCGTTCCCAGCTGTAAGCTAGTTAGTTACGGCTGTACCAATTTATGGTGTCTCATGCTGGCCCCTTTGGTTGTGTTGGATGGCTGAGTACAGAGATGCGAGACCACCTCACGCTGCTACTGTTTGAAGCAAGATTACATAAAGAACAGCTAAGTGTAGATTTACGTTCTAGTTTTTATGTTTAGATTTTCTATATTTTCAGTCTTAAACAATAACGTACATCTTAAGTAATATCGTACAGACTATGTTCAGTGGTTAGATTGTTAAGAACATTCATGTCGATATAATCTTTAAAATATAATTTAGATCTTAGGTTTCATTGCATTACATCTTGTAATGGTATTACTTTTATAGATATTATTGCACTATTTTAATAGATGGATAATCAAACATAGATTCTAGAATCTACAGGTGTAACATCTTCGATTTAGCATCATATGGAATATATCAAATTAATTAAAGTAATGCTACATTTCATATTTTCTCTTAAACTTTACATGTCCTGTATTTTATCGTAGTTGTTTTCATTGATATTTAGTACGACTCTTACCACCACTTTCTTTGACATATAACCACTATATATTTACTAGCACTCTACAATGTCATGTATCAGCAAAGAACGTCATGAATAAATATAGTCATTAGTTTTAAGTATTATACAACTGTGTTTTCTTTCTCTGTACATGCCTGGCGCCCAATATCTATATTTCTTTTGTTAATTATCTATAAATCTATATATCTTTTGTTAATTATGACTGATTAATTTTCTCTCTAGTGAAATACCTTATCCACGACTGCTCTCCGATGAAAAGCTGCCGTTGGCAGTGGTAGTGGTTTAAAAAACGCTACAGCAACTTCGCTTTTTAGTTAACTCGGATATTTTAACATTTCTGAAACAATGTTTTCTAATTGGTAAAACGTAAAAAATCGTTAGATCTGACAACTCTGTTGAAACTGGTCGTTCATCTAGCCGCAGCTAAAACGCAATGCATCCGGCCAGCCGACGGCCAGGTCGTTGCGACCTGGTCGTCAGTGAGTTAGAGCCCTAGTGAAAAAATCGAGGAAAAATGAACTGTAGACCCAGAGCACAGTTTATAGTTAATATGTAGTGCCCAGACAAAGAGTTTTATACACCAATAAAGTTACCGTCAGTAAAGTTTGTATACCATCTCGTATTTGGTATTTGATACTAGAAACAAGAGTATCGGTAAAATAACGACATCACACGATAGGCAAATAATAGATTTTAGTACTGCAGAAAGATAATGTCGAAAGGTACTGGTTAAGAAAAGTTAAAGTTAGTTAATCAACTTAAGTTATACAATTCAGTAAGTGTTATTAAAATGTTTTATTTTATTTATGTTGTGTTTTATTTATTCCTGTGCAATATTAAAAAACTTTTACTTTTAATCACTTGTCACTCAAATTTTAAATATATTAATTTCCTGCTATGCGTTCCAATTGTAACAACTTATTTCTTTGTAGAATAAAGTAAACTATCTACTTGGAAATTAAAATGACAGACCCATATATCACTGTCAAGGATTTTGTTGTTGGACAGACTTTATACACTATTTTTTGATACCCTATATATTTTTCGTAAGTCTTTTTAAATTTTATTTAATATACTCATTAAGAAATCAATAAAAAATGGTTGATTGTTATTACAAAATGTTACCTTCTTCTTGGGATTGTGTAAGAGGCATATCTGCTATGAGTTTGCATTTAAACTTTTCCAGCTCATCGTCTGTTTCTCCAGCCATTTCCTGTTGTAACGCCTATAAATTTATTTTAATTAGATATTACTAGAAAATATTAAATTAACAGATATGTACTTTTAGTCGCTCCAAATCTTCTTTTAACGTAATGTCTTCATCGAATACGTGTTCTAAATCTCTAAGTGGTTCATTACTAATTGTATCTACTGACTCGTATTCCTTCGCTTCTGTTTCTGTTTCTATAATTCAAAAATAATAAGATTTATTTATACATATTTGGAATTAAATTGAAATTATTGAAAAAAATATATCTATACCGTCCATTTTTTCGTCAGATTTTTCTTCAACATCTTCATGTTTTTCGTGTTCAGGTTCGACCTCCTTACTAGTTTCTTGATCATCAACGCTATGCTTTTCAACGTCAGTCTCTTCGATGTCTTCCTCGCCTTTAAAAAACATTTTAATAAATTACTTAAATATTGCTCCAAAAAATCGTTTATGGGTGTATTTTGTCACTGATTATTTTTAATTTTACGTATGTTATGTTCTTTAAAATCAAAGAAGCGATTGCCATACATTACTAACATCTATACAGATGCATGAGCAATACATTTATTTTTATTAGACTGTATTAAAAAAGCCTTTTTTATTTTTCTTTTAGAGGCTATCGCTTCTTTCATTATAATTTTGACGTTATTAAAATTTATTCTGTGCACTGTGTCCCATGAATGCTGACAAATCTTAGATTTGTGAAAATCTCCCTTTCTTAAATAATCTTTATGTTCTTTAATTCTAACATTATTTATAATTATTACGTAATGTTCGAATTAAAGAACATAAAGATTATTTAAGAAAGGGAGATTTTCACAAATCTAAAGGTGCCATTACACGGCGCGTGGAGCACCGCGCCTGGACCGTCGACTGCCGCTCCACGCTCCGTGTGATTGGGTCGGCGCGCCGATTTTCGGGTCACGGGCCTGGTATATGAGCAGTTAAGGCTGATTCATGGTACACCGTGACGGGCCGGGGCCGTGCGACGGTGAAGGCACGGCCAAACATTGTCAAATGGTATTTATACCTATGCATTCATGCTAAGCCGAGCACGGGCCGAGCTTCTACTACCGTGTCTACTTTACGGAACGTGCCCGGCTCGGGTACGGCCCGGTGTACCATGAATCAGCCTTTACACGGAGTGTGGAATCCCGCGCCAGGACACGCCTGAACCGTGAACTACCGCTCCACACGCCGTGTGAATGGGTCGGCGCGGAGATCGTCAGGCGGCGTGTCGTTCCCGTCAACTGGCGGTAAACTGCACACTCCAAAGCAAACGCGTCGCGAAAAATTTTCGCCAATAATTTTTTTAATTTAGTTAAATTTAATTGTTACATAATTTATTTAAATATCTCCATTTAATACGAAAATGCATAATTTGATATTCGCTTAAAGAAATCTATATATATCATATTAATTAGGTGGAAAATTACTGAAAATACGGGTTATACCAATATACTCTACAATCTTATTGTTTAAAATAATTATTATTATTTATTCTAAATGTTGTATAAAGGGTAAGGAACACTAGATAAATTTTGCTGAGGTGACTTATGTATGTATGAGTAATAATTACTGTATTTTTTAATAATGTTTATTGCATTTATACTTCTAAAGATGCGGTTTTCACATCACTATGCTACTTTTTATGAAACCAAAGATGCTCCAAGAGTTGTCCTAGTCTTTTTAGTTCCTAAAATACAGAGCGAATTTTAAAATGTTGCATTTTTCGACCCCATCGTATATTGGTTAACATATCGAAAAGGTGAAAACTAAAAAATAAAAAACTCAACGAGACTAATTGAGTTTTTTTTATATAGAATCCAGTGACGTTAACTAGTTTCGCTTGTAACTCTCATTTTCGAAATATGACTTCTATTTTATAAATGACACCCAGTGTATTATTTTTTATTTTATTTGCCTAGTTATGGGCTTTCTAAAAATACGATATACTCTAATTATTTTCATAATTAAGGTAAAAAAATCATTATTTAACTTTTGAACATAAATAAACCTGGTTTAAAAAAGTATTATTATCTTATTTAATTTAATTTAACCAGATGATTTTGCTTTCCACTTTGTTATCTTAATAAACTGCACTGAAAATAAAGTTGGGGAATAAATTAGTATTATTCGATTGTATTAATTTAAACCCAATTTAAACCGATAATCTATGTTAAAAAGTTATACAATGCATTTTTTGTATCTGCCTGCCGGTCGGTCGTCCCATCGGCGCCGGCGCACAGTGCGGTGGATGATAAGCCTAGCGGGACAAAACCGTTTTGTTTATAAAAATAAGCCAAAAAATGTGTACTGATAAGAATAAATAGTGTTCATTCCAACTGATATAAAAATGCATGAATTATTTTTTGGTCGTATACATTTTTATCAACAAAATTTGATAGTTTTCTGCTCAGCCAGGTAGAGGTCATACGAAAACAAAATATTTACAAGTGCATACATTCTATTCCAAACCCAAAATATGTTGGAGATTGCCAAAGGTATGTAAAAAGGCGTTTTAAAACCAACATCATCTCTTGACCGTTTTGTGGGATATCATGATGCAATTTTTAGATCCCAACTCTCTTAGTAACGAAGAAAAGAAAGGTGTTAAAACCCATCTACGATCATTTTCTCTTGTTTTTTTTAGAGTTCAAGCTTAAAAGGTGGCCCTAAAGTTTTATTCCAATTGGCTAGTATAATAACGAAACAAAGACTCATTAAAGGGCTAATTGAAGAGCATTGAAATGAAGAATTAGGTTTTGCAAGTACTATGAACTTTAGGGCTAGTGGGGGTAGGAATGCTGCTGTAATCGTTGAAACCTTAACTGAAACTCCATCGAAAGACACTGCGTTTAAAAAATCAATAAATAACACATTGGTGTCATTTATTGATTTTTACTGACTATTGAGTCAGTTCGGCAATTTTTCTCAAGACAAAAAAATCCAAATGATGTTCTAGTTAAATAAAGCATGACTATATGCAAAATCCTTTTTTAATTTCTTATAATTTCTAATGAAAACTAAATGATTATTAGTAGTTTTAATAAAAGTTTTAAAAATTGTCTTAGATACTTACTATATATGAATTTACAATTACAGAGTGTTAAAATTAAAATTAAAATAACTGTTTTATTTATTTTTAAATAAAATATATTTTTTTAAATAAAATATATTTTTTTAAAATAAAATATACAGGGTTTTACAAGATCACAAAGTAATTAAAAAATAACTGCAAAAAAAAAGTTTTTTTTAAGTATTTACCTGATATCATAATTTTATTTATTTAGCATTAGTTTACAGTACGATTTTTGTGTATCACGTACGAATAATATAATAGTTTTATTATCTTGTTATTATATTTATTAATAAATTAAGTTGTTAATAAATAAATAAATTTAACCCATATGGGTGCTATACATATATTAAACCATTTGCTACGTTCTTAGATTTTAAGTCCCAAACATCGCTCCTGAGGTTTTGTCCGGCTAGAATTACCACCCGCCGCACTGTGGGGCGCGTCTTGGCGCGTCTAGGCGCGGCGCTTCACGCGCCTGGAGCGTGGATCGGCGCTCCACACGCCGTGTAATGGCACTTAAGATTTGTCAGCATTCATGAGATGATTCATGATAAATACCATACAACAGTGGCGAAATACCCGTATAGGATTTTTTGGAGAGATGAATCCGCCACATAGGTATAGACATTTTTTAAATATTGCTAATCAAATTGACATACATACTTTTTATTTTATCCTCATGTTTATTTGACAAATCATCTTCATCTTCGGATTTACTAAATTAAAAAACAATCATTTTTTTTAAATGAATCTACTAGCAATACTATTTAACTAATTACTTAAAATTTAGATATAATTTGAAAACCGCTACGAATAAAGCTTGATTTTCATGCATCCGTTATCCGACGATACGATGATACGATATTAATTTTATTGGTTGAATTGAAAGACTTCGTATCATCGTATCGTCGGACAACGGATGCATGAAAATCAAGCTTTAATTATTTCAATAAATCAAATTCAAGAAGAAAGCATAGCAACAGTTTTTGAAGTGAAACTTCTTTACGCGTACTGGGGGTAAAAATTGAAGGCCGTGGCACACGAGCTAACGTCATGAAAAGTGATAACGATCGAAAAGTGGTAAGCCAATGAGGAAGGTGAGATGGGTCTTTGGAGCATCGTAACTCGGGTCCTATATGAGCTAGCGGCTGAAACCTTAGATATTATAAACTTCGCGTATAAGTAAATTCGCTTCATTTTTGTTGAAGATACGTCAGCGACATTCGACTATCTGATTATTTTTGTCTTTGACACCGATTAATCAATCGTCTGTCTTTCTTTTGGGCATATGTCATTTTTATGTAATAAAATAGAAAATATAAATACAGGGTGGCGCCTCTCATACGCCTCGGAGGCTCTAATGAGAACGACCTTTTGTATTGAAATATAATTTTGTGAGCATATGTTCATATTCAGAGCACTTTTTTAAAAATATGGAGAGTTCTACAGGGTGTCCCCAAAAAAAGGTACATATCAAAGTTGTGTTTTTTGTAATGGAACACCCTATATATTAATTGATTTTCGGATTCTGGGAGAAAAATAAAGGTGAGTTTTATAAGAGAATGAATCTCTAAAATGTAAGGTTTTTGACATATTTAACATTTTCTAGAAATAAAGAACAATTTTTAAATTACAATAAAAGCTACCTATATTGGAATTTACCCGGTATAGCCTATATGTAGTTAAATTAACTAATGTACTTTAAATCAAATTAAAACTTGATCCAAAAAGTTGTACAGGGTGAGATAAAATTAATATTGAACATTGATCACCTTTAAAAGCATGTTACTCTCTTATTTTAAATGGAACACCCAGTATATTATTCCTATACTTAATGGAGAATTCATGTCTCTTCAAAATACTATTAAGGTTGCCTACCCCTCAAACAAATATTTTCCAAGATATTTTCATTTACATGATTTGATCTGAGTAGATCTTTATTATTTGATAAAATCTAGGTGACTGTGATATGTCTGATGTTACTTCAACATAGCTGTCTAATTAGTCCAAGTTTAACAACTAGTTATCATTTTGTGTCAGTGAAAACAAACTAAATTCTCAGAATTTTGCCGAAAATGCAAACTTATCTTACATCAGAGAGAATTGATATGATTCCATTAGTTGGTGAATGCAGTGTGCATTCACAAATTAATAGAATACTTAAATGCTCCTGATTTTATCTAGTGTCGATTTTTTATGGGGATATTTTAAAGACAGTGCTTACAAAACTTGGCCAACTATTGTCGACAATAGCAGAGAAATAATTATTGCAGCTGCTTTTCGAGGTAGAACTCCACGTATGCCTTTTAAAATGAAAAGATCCTTTTGAAAAGACCTACACTTTTTTAAACATGTCGTTCAAATCCTTCAATTTAATAGTTGTTAGTAAGAAGAGTCACTTCAAATATGCGCACATAGTGCACACACAATTTTTTTCAAGAATTTTTATTTAGTGACAAAGTCAATTGTATAAAGATCTCTATACTATATACAGGGTCCGGCAATAGTGCGTCGGGCATCTGTAAATAAAAAACTTGAGAATTTTGTTTAAGTGCAAATCTAAAGTATGTACCAGGATGTATTTCAGGAAAATATTTTAACTTCAATAGGGTGGCTCAAAAAAGTGTGAGTGGACCTGGATGATTTTTTTTAAATAGAACACCCTGTATATTATTGCATTTTTGGCTTCCTTTCATATCACTTTACATAACTCTAAGATATGAATAAATACATTTCGATAGTTTCAGAGATATTAAAAAATAAATCAAAAATATATATTTTTAAGCCCTTAAAAAAATATTAAAAATACAAGAACTGTTCTGAAATCAAAACTATACTAAGTATTTACTTTAGATGGTCTGTACTTACTTTGCTATAAATATAAAAATCTTAAATTATACAGGATGTTCAAAATTCTACGCCAAACTTTCTAAAATATAAAATAATTTTTCTTCGTTTTTTTAAATAAAACACCCTGTATATTATTTTTTCAATAGATGGAGAATTAAAAAATGAACATTTTTGGTATTTAGAGTATTTAAAAATTTTTAACGAGTTCGCAGATATTTGCGGTTTTATATTTCATATGGAATTTTCCACAGTAAATTTTTATCAAAGCCACCCAATGATTTTTCTCTCGTATTTTACCATTGAAAGCGCCATATGAAATAATACTGCGTGTATCTGCGAAACCGATAAAAATTTTGAAATACTCTAAATACAAAAAATGTTTATTTTTTAACTCTCCATTTAATAAAAAATAATATACAGGGTGTTCCATTTAAAAAACCAAAGAAAAATTATTTTATATTTTAGAAAGTTTGGCGTTGAATATTATTTATTTATTCGTGTCAGAGGCATCATCAAGATTACATTACATATACATATAATATCACATACAACAACAATAACAACAATAATTACATATAATAATAATAATAATAATAAGTAAAATTGCAAACATAAAAGTTATACATGAAACCACAGTACATTAAAACGATTAATAGATATAAAACAAACATAGCATATATAAACATCATTTGAGACGGGAAACTAAACATATTTTGCCCAGAAGCGGGCGACGTCAATTGCGTTCGACTTTGCTGCCATAAGGTCCTCTATAGTGCACTTGGCGGGGCACAGTGGGCAAGTATACATATGTTGGGTGGTTTTTAGTGATATTTATAATATCTCAACTTACATTGATTGTTTCTTTTTCTCTTCACTTTCAAGCATCAAAGGCGTTGAATATTGAACATCCTGTATGATTTACGATTACCATATTTATAACAAAGTAAGAACAGACCATCTAAAGTAAATACCTCATATAGTTTTGATTTCAGAACAGTTCTTGTATTTTTAATAATTTTTTTAAGAAGGGCTGAAAAATATATTTTTTTGATTTATTTTTTAATATCTCTGAAACTATCGAAATATATTTATTCATATCTTAGGGTTATGTAAAGTGATCTGAAAGGAAGCCAAAAATGCAATAATATACAGGGTGTTCCATTTAAAAAAAATCATCCAGGTCCACTCACACTTTTTTGAGCCACCCTATAGAAGTTAAAATATTTTCCTGAAATACATCCTGGTACATACTTTAGGTTTGCACTTAAACAAAATTCTCAAGTTTTTTATTATAGGAGCTACAGATGCCCGACGCACTATTGCCGGACCCTGTATAATAATATAATAGCTACATTAATAAAAATGTATGATCATATTTTGCTCAATATTTATAATATCTCAACTTACATTGATTGTTTCTTTTTCTCTTCACTTTCTTCCACATCACTTTTTGTACTTTCTTCTACATGTTCTGTACCTTCCTCTGCCTCTTGTTCCATCGCTATATTATCAAGAGCCACATCTAATTGATCAACTGCTTCTTCATCCTCCGCCATTTCTTCTTTAAGATAGTCTAAAGAGTAATGGTCATCATCAGGCAGACTTGGACAAGACACCACTTTATATACATCATCCTTTTTTTCAGTTTCCTCGGCCGATAGGGTTGAGCTTTTACTTTCACTACTAAAATAGTATTAAAGATTGTTGATTTATAATTTGTGTCTATAAAATAATAGGTATATATTTATCTACGTCAGAGAGTTAAGAAGCTCTTAACTCACTCATTTTTAGTGAGTTAATAGCTTCTTAACTCACGCATTTTCATTACCGCACTCCTTGTTTAGATGACTACCAAAGAGAAAAAAATATTTTGTAAAACATTTATTTTGCACTAAATACAAATAAACTGTTCTATTGATAATAATAATTATAAAAACATGAAAACTTATTTTATTATAAATGTTAATGATACAGTTTGAAGTAAATGCCCGATGAAGCATATATATTTATTTTAATAGATATCATAGTACGTATCATTGAATAGAAAGCCCCAAGAGACGAAGGCTTATAAGTAGCGGATAAATTGGGAAAATTTAGGAGTACCTTTTCATTTTCATAGTTGGGTACTTTTATTTCGGTGCACCATTTTTCATACTTAGAGTATGTATATTCATACTTCTGTTTCGATCTTGCTGGAAGCAATCCAGAAATGGCTCTGAATGTCTCTTCTTCAATGTCAGAGGAATACTTTCCGAATCGCTCATTTTTTAAACTAGTGACATCAATATTATTTACTGTCATATTGACATTGTGTTATTTGAACAAAGGTATTAAGGTAATAAAATTGATTTTTAGAATAGGTATATAGTTAAGTAACAATAATTTTTTAAATTCATTGTGTGTTTTTATAGTTAGACGTAGATAAAATATTGTACAACACACGCGAGTTAACTCCATTAAGATATTTGTCCTTGTAAATTAACTTTCACACGCGTATCTTAATGATTATGTTAACTCACTTGTAATCGTAAATATCTATTACCTCCGCTCAGTTGTAGATAACACATCTTCGTGTACTTCTTCCATGTCCTCAACTTTTTGAACTTTTTCCCTCCATAATGATAGCAAAGAGTCTCTAAATAAATAGTTTCTTAGTATTTGATCGTGTGATGCATCAATATTTGCCAAAAATGTGTAGAGGTCTATAAAAGTTTCACAGCTTATTATGGCGGATCCCCCTAAAAAAATACTATAAATAACTGTGGAGTATATTTGGTTAGCAACTCACCTTCAGGTTCTTCACTTATGATTTCGCAAAGTAAAATCATCGTGTGTGTTAGATCCTAGAAATATAAATTAAATTATGCAATGACTAGACAATCTGCAGATTGAATAAAACTTAGTTTACATCTGATAGTGTTCCTGCACACAGAGCAACAAATCTTAGCCATGGAATAGCTTCCACATCATCAAAACCACCAAGACATAATATTTTGATTAATGTTTTGTGTTGCAGGCAAGCTCCAATCCATCTGTCCCATAAGACCTACGCACACGAAATTCAGCATTTTTATCACTTGGTCAAATTAATCAAAAAGAGTATATATGTTCGAAATATAAAATTTAGAAGATAAAATGCAGAAAATGGAAAATAAATCATGTAGCTAATCTACTATACCTTAAATGAAATGGTCAAGTTGTTTTGAAGCTGAAAAATTAAGGCTTTTAACCAACCAGGGGTAATGCCATAATAATCTCGCGGTATTGGATATTCCAATCTTGGTTTTACCGGTGGAGGAATATTTAGAGACAAACAACGGAAATAAGCAGTAGACCATCTAGAAAATGAAAATAGACACTTGTAAACCATCATATAGCTAAATATAAAATGTCGTACCGTAAACCGTTAATAAACATGCGCTGTTCAATGCAGAATGATCAGTTTGGGTTATTTAGTCGTATTTTATATACACTGTGTCAATTTTAAAACCCTTAATATCTTTCTTGCACACGTCAATTTTATTTGTAAGGGGGACAGTTTAAATGAATATTTTTTGCCTTTTTCTTTCAAACCCCTAGGGGGGGGTGTAGATGTCACTCTTACAATCTTTAATGGGAATGGGGGTCAAGTAGCACATCGTTTTAAAGGGCATTTAATTCTCTGTTCAGTGGTATCCAACTGTGTTGCTTTTTGTCCAGAGGTTTCCGGATAATCGCGTTTCATAGTTGCACAAACAATTAAACATGTCTGCATTCAGATTTTGGTTTTCAGGCTAATGTTTACTCAAAAATTATTGCAATGGATCTCCTTGTAGTACAAATGATTAGAATATTAAGTTACACCACTTACGCCCTGTCTTATAAGTTGTTCAAAATGTTATTCATTTTCCTGCAAACAATAAGAAAGTCTCTTCAAACTCCTCTCTAACATTTCGGTAAACTTCACCGGGAATTGACCGGCATTCTGTTGTACTTCGCCTTTTAAGATCATAAATATCAGTAAGTTGTGTCTCATAAACATGGAATTTAAGATGTCCCTAAAGAAAGAAGTCTAAGGGTGTTAAATCCGGTCATCTTGGAGGTTATTCAATTGGTCCCCTTCTGCCAATCCATGTACCCAGAAATCTCTCGTTTAACCACTGTCGGACCGGAAGAAAATAATGAGATGGAGCACTGTCCTTCTGGAATGTTAACAAATCCCCCTGTATTTGAGTATCTAGCTCTTGGATGATAAGAGGATCAATAGTTTCTTGAAGCATATTAAGGTACAGATGACCCCTGTCAAGTTTCCTTCAATAAATAAAGGACCAATAATGGCATATCTAAGATAACCAACCATAACATTAACTTTTTGGGGATATTGTGTATGTCCTTCTCGAAAAATATGCGGGTTTTCGTCACTGCAATAATCGTATTTGAGAAAAGAAACGTTAATGTTTATGATTTTTTTCTGTTTATTAGTATTTCGACCCCCCTAGAAAAATGTAATGGCTATGTCCATGTTGCTATCTAATCTTCTCATCAACTACAAGGAGACCCATTGCAATAATTTTTGTGTAAACACCAGTCTGAAAACCAAAATCTCAACGCAGGCATGTTTAATTGTTTCTGCAACTTTAAATCTCGCGATTATTCGGAAACCTCTGGACAAAAAGCAAGAAAGTAGGATACCACTGAAAAGAGAATTAAACGCCTTTTAAAACGATGTGCCACTTGACCCCCATTCCCATTTAATATTGTAATGGTGACATTTCCCCCTTCCTAGAGGGATAAAAGAAAACGGCTAAAAATATTAATTTAAAGTGTTCCCCTTACAAATAAAATTGACATGTCTTTCCGATTTTTCATATTTTTGACTGCGAGAAAGATATTAAGGGTGGGTATTTTTAAAATTGACACAGTGTATATTTGACAGCATGTAGTAGAGATAACTTTATTTTTGAAAATGACGAACCCCATACATTACACAATGTGAAAATATGAGGAATGTACCAAAGTTATACTGCTATCACAAAGATACTCCACTTTAAGGTAAAATTAAAATATATTCTGTAAAAGAAACAGATGGCAACTGATAAAACTGAACATACATTTTATGTAATTTATATTATAAAGTAAATTATAACAAGAATATATTCAATTATTATGATTTTATAGTCCGAGAGATATATGGCCAAACATTATATTTCACTTACTTTAAAAGATCTCGAGGCTGAGTGCGAATGGCAGCTTTAGCGTACTGTCTCAAAAGATATGGAAAAGTTGGTGGTATGCATATCTGTTCTGAACAGTACATTTCATCCGGTAGACCAGGCATTTTCAAGTATATGGAGCTAAATGATTAATTTGACTTTAATATTTTAAAAACTTGTATAAAGCACGTTGTATAATGTTAGTTTTTAATCATCAAAGTCGATCAAAGTCTTTGTCACAAGTCATCATTTGTATGTAACAGTAGTTGTTATGGAAATATCGATTACAGGGTGATTCAGTTAGGCTTCCTAAAAAGCTATATATTAGGTTTTTGGTTTGTGAATTTTTTTTACATAATATGGGGGTAATTGTAACGCACATTTTGAAAATATTTTTGGAAAAATACAGGGTGATACAAACATATTTTCAAACAAAAAGTTGTATATTTTTAAATGGAATACTATATACTATATTTTTTGCTCAGTGGATTTGACACTAAATTTCGTTCTAAAAATAAAATAATGTCGTATAGGTACTATACCGAGTGGTTTTTGAATATAACCGTTTGTAAACTAAATTTACTGCTTATATAAAGCCCTTTTAAAATTCTAAATTCGACGAATTATTATTTTTTTTAACAGAAAGTAGTGTATAATAGTATCTTCTTCAAAATTCCTTTTACCAAAATTTGTAATTTTGTTAAAGTACCTAAGTTAAATTTGGATTATAAGTTAACAAAAGTCGATATACAGGGTGGTCCGAATTGTATTCCGGAACTTCGGCAGCATATTCTGCAGATAAAAATAAATAAAAAAGTTCGTATAAATGTAGGTCCTAAAATGCGTAGTTTCAGAGATACAGGGTGTAGAAGTTTCATTTTTATTTCGATTTTTTCTAAATAATTTCTGAAGTAACGTCAATATTTGGATGTTAATTGGTGTCTGGGAGTTTTTTGATATGAGAACTTTGATTTTGATGTCAATATGACTCCTGCTATTAGAGGGTGCCACCTACATGTGTTTTAACTGTTTTGAAGCGTAATAACTTTTTGTCCGTATCTGTATAAAACTACCGAGCGAAAAAATATACATCTGTGTGACTTTTTACGTAAAAAATATCTCTTCGTAAAAATCGTTACGAGCAACCGTTCTTAAGATATTTAGCATGGAAATAGTTAATACATGTCATTATTGACGAAAAATAAACACGTTGAGTAGATAGTTATTTCACTGAAATAATAAATTTGAAAATTTTAATTTTTTTTAAATTAATCATAAATTTTTCTGCAAAAAATGATGATAAAACAGTTTCTGTTTTGGCACAAAAATATTTCAAATTTATGATTTCAGTTTAGTCAACCATGTTTAATTAATGTCAGTGATGACAGGTATTAATAATTTCGATTCAAAATATCTCGAAAGCCATTACTCGTAGCGACTTTTACCAAGAGACCTTTTTACGTAAAAAACGTCGTAAATGTATATTTTTTTACTCCGGAATACAGTTCTGACCCTGTATTTGATCTGTAAAATATTTATTTCCGTTTGTTATCAAGTTGCCCAAATTCTTGTTAATTTAAATTCAAACCTATATATATTTTTTTAAATTAAGACTAATAAAATTGCGTTTTAACGATATGTTCCTGATATGTTCCTATAACTAAACCTTCCGGTTAATTAAGTAGAGTTATTTAAATATTAATAACTCTATTATTATAAGATTATTTCAAGAATTTCGTTGCAATGGCAATTGAATATTTCTCATGGTAACGATTTTCTTTAAACCAAACAATTTTATAAAAGAATGATTATCTTTTATATGATTTTACTGAATAAACCAGAAGGTAAACCTGATTTAGGTACATGGTATATTGTTATAATTCAATGTTATTTATGTTTCGATTTTTTAAAGACTTTTAAAAGGCTTAATTTTAAAAGGCCTAAATTTAAAATAGCAATGATTTGGGTGGTTTTATAACAAATGGAAATATGTATTTTTTGATCTCTTTGATCCGATCTTTGATCGGTTGATTTACACAGTTCGAATATGCCGACTTAGCCTATAAACTAGTAGTGGGAACTATCGAATGAATACCTACTATCGAAATATTCGATAGTTGCAATTCATTCGAATAATTCGATAGCTAGTAAGAAAACATTCGTTGAAAACTATTCGAATAAAAATTATCGAATAGATGCGTCATCTGCCTTGAAATATTGTATTCTAGTAATTCGGCAGCAAAAACCATTCATTTATAAAATTCATTCATTTATGAAATTCATTTATTCGTCAGGATCGATTATAATAAAATATTAACTGGATTTTAGTTGTCGCCCGGCGACGTAGGTTTCTTTCCGAGAAACCCGACAGCGGTCGGTGGCAATGCTATGAAAGAAGCGGGCATCTTAGATTTTTTGCGGAGTCAAATAAAGATAAGGACACATTAATTTTTTTATTGAGGTGCTAGTATTTACACAGAAAATACATTATGAAGGGCGCTGTTGCCATATATTCGTATTAGTTGGTATTAGCCTTTTAGCAAAGAATATTATTCTTTAGCATTAGTTAGTTAGGGATAGTATGTCTATATGTTTTGCATTTTTTTTATTAATATTCTGTTGTTACACTGCAATAATACTTTTTATTTTGGATGTAGGAAAATGATTTTTAATGTTTTTAAGCAAAGACTGGTTTAATAAATAATAATAACAGTAATAATTTGTTATACCTATTAACAACAAAATTTAAAATCATTTAATAATATAAACATTTTTTTAAGTAGTAGCTTAATATAAACAATAAATAGAAGTCAAAAGTATTTATATTAGATCCTATTTAAAAATAATATAGTCTCTAAATGTGGCAACGTTGGTTTATTAAATAATAATAATTACAGAACTAATTTGTTATATTAACAACAAATTTTAAAATCATGAAATATAAACATTTATTAATTTTCTAAGCAAGCAGTGTAATGGAAGGAAAATATAAATAAAAAATTAGAAATCAAAATTATTTATATTACTTTTTATTACTTTATATTACTATTTAAAAATAATATTTACTTTTACTGGCATTTACTTTAAAAAATAAATGAAATATTTCTTTGCAAAAAACTACATGTAAGAGAATTAGCATAAACAAAATACAAACATCGTTAACTTTTTTTTAAATTGGCACGTGTAAAACTTTCAATTTAATTTTCTCACCCCATAGTTTGAGTTCGATAACCATTTACTTAACCACATTACTTAAATATGATTATTATAAGTTCAACTAATTCATATTATTAAAACATCTAAAATACAAATATGTATTTTTAAAATTAATTCTAAGTTCATCTCATCTCTCTTAAAAATTGCTACTTCTCAAAATTTCCGATAAAAAAATAGACCATATACCATATAAAATAAAATAATTGAAAGATCGGGCTTCGGAAAATCACACAAATTTTCGGAAAAATTTTGACACCTGCACACGCATACAATCGTCAATTAATAAAACGACTATTTTAGTATTTTAAATATTTTAATAAACGCAAAAATAGCACAGTATTTATAAGGCGAAGTTATAAAAATTTGGAAGAACTAATAAAGCACTGACGCACACAAAAATCAAACGAATACTAAATTTCATTTATCAAAAGCATTCGATAGTCGTGGCTCAACGATAACCATTTAGTCGCACGGCGAGGTTATCACATATGCTTTAGTATACAAATGAATGAATGAATGATTTTATTCGAATAAAACCATTCGATAGCTGAAATCATTCATTCAGTAACCATTCGATAGTCTAATACATTCGATAGTTCCCATCGCTACTATAAACCAAATTTAAGCTTTCCTATGCCTAATTTATGATTTAACCAACAAAAAAATTTAACGATTCAAGATCATATTTTAGTCAATTTTATTCATGTTTTATTTCTTTCCCCGAAAACTGTTACTGTTGTGTACGTTAATATAATAGAAAATTATATGAGATATGATATAGGAAAGTTGTAGTGTACCGGGTGGCCAATTAAGAATGGACGCCGGCTGTATCTCAGAAACTACTTATCGTATAACATTGGGAAAAAAATTCTAATAAGTAAATCGACCAAGAGAAATCGCTGGAAATTATTTAAAGTTCGAAAAATGTCCGCTAGGGGGCGTTTCGCTGATAGCCAATCAGAAAACAGGGTTTTTCTCAAAAATATGCAGGTGAACAGGTATTTTAAATATTATTATTATAATCATCGAGAAATTTGTAATTTTTTTGATGTAGAGTGTTTTACTCTCTCATAAAATAAAGTGGTGGGGGAAGGTTAAACTTGCTTTTATTAAAATAAGGATAACTCTGGTTTAGGTTAACCGATTTAAACAAACTAGAGCTTGTTTAAAAGAGCTTTTCTTCCTTAATGATCTCCAGTGTAAATTTTGTTTCCATCATTTTTTTCGTGCTAGAGGGCGCTGTTTGACATCATAACAGATATTGCGCTTTTGCATAAAAAAATTAAATAGGAGGCTATATTTCTGTTTACGCAGTTAAATAGGGCACAACATTTCCAAAATATCAGTCTATCTATCAGTTGTCTCTAACCGGAGATATTAAGAGAACAAATTATGTTAGGCTGCCGCTTAGAATTATATACAAGGACAGAAAGACAGTCAAAGCTGTAGTAGGTCTACTAACAGGGCATTGTAAGCTAAATAGGCATCTAAAGCTGATGGGATTGACAGACGAAGCTATGTGTAGGTTCTGCCAATCTGAAGAAGAAACGTCAGAACACATTTTATGTCGGTGTGACAGCCTGGCAAATGTGCGGTTCCCGGTAATAGGCAATGATAGGCCATTGCCAAGGAGCTACATGGAGGGTTCAGTCTCCAAGTTGCTAAACTTTGTGAGAAGGATAGGACTGGAGAATGTAATCTAAGGATCAGAAGAGGACCACAATAGATCCGAGAAGGTCGCAGTGGATCAGGCCGAAAGCCACCTCTAAGAATCTAATCTAATCTAGAATTATATAGTCTAAAAATTATAGTAGTAGGCTAGGAAACAAAAAGAGGTAAATTAGTTACGTCAAAATATCAAAACGTTTAAGTTCAGTTTTCACGTATCCGAATTTCGGGCGTTTTCTTAAAAAAGATGACGTCAAGTTTTTAAACGTGTTTATGTAACATTAAAATGTGTTTATCTAACATTATCGTCCATCCATAATTTTTACGAATTTCTTGGTTAATTATACGTAGGTAGTTCTCAGATTAAAATGCCCGAAAATCGGACAATCAATAATTTTATTAAAATTTCTAAGAATTTTGTGCTTTTAACAGAAAACGGTCAAATTTCGTATGGCCGAAAACTAGGGGTTTATTTCATGTAACGTCATTTAGCTATTAATCCAAGTTCGTCCTTGATTTCACTTGTTGTCGTGTTTTACCTGTTGTTTGTGTTATTTATTATTGTATTATAAAGTTTATGTCGTTAGGATCACTTTTTATATAGCCCCGAAGGTGCGAATGTTAACAATATGCACTACTGGTCCAAATCTACCTTGGATGCAAGTAGTTCAGCACCAAGACCGTTGGTCGGTACATCTTTGCCAGGAATTCTAGGATAACAAATGATTATCTGAATGAAATGAACTATCCATAATTTCTAAGAGATGAATTGCCAATTTTGTTAGGGGATCCAATCTGGATCCGATCCATCATGATGAAAATGCATTTGTTGTAATTTCGTCAGCATGAATGCTGTTGGTGTAGATAATGCAGTTTGGTGCAGTTGTGTCGCATATTTTGCTATGAAGGTGTGGGGCTTCTTGGATACCACTTACTTTAGTAGATAGAGACGCTGGAGCGGCATATATCCATGGCTGGCTAGGTCATCGGATTCAATATGCTTGGGTTTTAATTTATGGGGTTGAATCAAGAACGAACATGGATAAATAACAATTAAATGGTATTAAAATGAAATGAAAATATATCTTTTGATATTTTGACGTAACCAATTTACCTCTTTTTGTTTCCTAGCCTACTACTATAATTTTTAAACTATATAATCCTAAGCGGCAGCCTAACATAATTTGTTCTCTTAATATCTCCGGTTAGAGACAAGATAGAAAATTGCGGTTTGCGCTGATATTTTGGAAATTTTGTGCTCTATTTAACTGTGTAAAGAGAAATATATCTTCCTATTTAATTTTTTTATGCAAACGCGCAATATCTGTTGTAATGTCAAACAGCGCCCTCTAGCTACCACGAAAAAAATGATGAAAACAAAATTTATACTGGAGATCATTAAGGAAGAAAAGCTCTTTTAAACGAGCCCTAGTTTGTTTAAATCGGTTAACCTAAACCAGAGTTATCCTTATTTTAATAAAAGCAAGTTTAACCTTCCCCCACTCTTTATTTTATGAGATAGAGCAAAACACTCTATATAAAAAAAAATACAAATTTCTCGATGATTATAATAATAATATTTAAAATACCTGTTCACCTGCATATTTTTGAGTAAAACCCTGTTTTCTGATTGGCTACCAGCAAAACGCCCCCTAGCGGACATTTTTCGAACTTGAAAATAATTTCCAACTATTTCTCTTGGTCGATTTACTTATAAGAATTTTTTTCCCAAAGCTATACGATAAGTAGTTTCTGAGATACAGCCGGCGTCCATTCTTAGTTGGCCACCCGGTACTATAAAAAATGTCTTTACCTGTGTCTGTGTAGCGGTAGCGGATTCATCTCTCCAAAAAAATCCTATATGGGTTTTTCGCCACTGCAAGAAAATCTACAAAATAAAATAGTTAGGTTAGGTTAGGTGAGGTTAAAAAATAATAATAATAATACTTACAAAAGGTATTAATTGTAAATCTTTTTATATTATTTACATCGTTTGAAATTACTTAAAAAAGTATTTGTTTGAAAAAATAGCATGTTCTGTTAGGAGTAAAAATGACTTTTTGTGATTGTAATGTCAAACTTACAGCCTCGTCACAGAAATTTTTATTTTATTCCTAACAAAACAATATACTATTATTTCAGTCACATATATTATTATCATTAATACCATATGATCAAATAAAAACGGCGTCAACGATGGCTATGCAATGAAGATCGCTGTCATTTTATATATAAATTTATATGGGAAATGTCATCGATTGTCATTTCATATCTATCGATGACGTCGTTCTTATTCGATCATACGGTATAACTCATTTAAAATAATTACTAAAATGTTTTTAAACGTATTAGCTACAAGATAGAAAAAATGCTTATGCACGTACCTACTCTTTTATATTTGGTTAAAAGGTATATTAGAAGAATCATATTATTTTACATTATACAGCATTACAGACGCTAAAAATAATTTTACACATAAATATTATAAATACACTTCACAATAACAGAAAAAAGTGTATAATAAAAAAATACATTATATTTTTTTACAGACAAGGTAATAGCATGTTATGGCCAGTTTGATCATAAAAGTTTTATCATACAAAATGTATTTGCTATTTTTATATTTAAAATGTAATATTATATTCTTGAGTACATCAATTGTAAACAAGTACAAAAGATTTTTATCGGATAAAACATTTGTGTTGATATAAGTCTGTACGTCGCAAACATACTGTTTACTTTTCTTGATTTAATGGAAACTAATGGACTACAAAGAAAATATTATTCAAGTTTCACAACAATAATCAAATACAACCAAATATTCTAGAAGATACATAGTATACAATTTACAGTGACCATAAAATGGACTATGGAACGAAAAGTTTCCTTAAAATAAAGAACTTTTGGGTAAAATTGAAAACTTTTAATTAAAAATTATTCATTTTTTTATTTTTAAATAATAAAATAAAAGCTATAGATTCTGTTATACCTTTGTATAACATTGATCATATTGTTTTAGAAATTAAATCAAGAGATAATGTTCTCAGAATATCAATATCAAATCATTCAACCGTTAGTACTAAGCGCAAGAATTTTTGGTCTCTGTCCAATCGTGTTCGCAAAAATCGGAAAGTTTTATGAAGCAAAGTACTCAAAGGTTTTAGTTCTTTATAGTTATACTATTGTAGTATCAATTGGTAAGTAATGTTCATGTTCAGAAATATACATGTAGTAATAATTTTAAATTATACAAATTACGAATATTAAGAAATGACTTTTTTAACTTTTTTTATTTAATTATGCACTTCATTCTATATACATATATATTTTTATATCTTCTGATTTTTTTTACTTTCTTGGAATTTAGGTTCGGGAAAACTCTAATTAAGTTTTTATTTGGGTTTTTATATCTTTATTTCATTTTTAAAAGGAAAAACAAACGTTTCGGCCAAACATTACAGCCTTCATCAGTGTAGTGTCAAATCAAAAAAACAGTGTCGAACATAATCCAAAAATCACATACAAAAAACCCACAAACACACATAACATAATGTTTACTATAATTAATAAACTAAAATAAACTTGTCAAAAGATGACCACATATTTTTTAAAATTATCATTCGTAACACTAAAACTATCTATGTATATTGACTGATTGTGGGTTTTTTGTATGTATTTTTTTATTATGTTCGACACTGTTTTTTTGATTTGACACTACACTGATGAAAGCTGTAATGTTTGGCCGAAACGTTTGTTTTTCCTTTTAAAAATGAAATAAAGATATGAAAAACCAAATTAAAACTTAATTAGAGTTTTCCCGAACCTAAATCCCAAGAAAATTAAAAAAAAACAGAATTTTTAAAAGCAAGGTTCAAGGTTCAAGAATAATAAATTTTCCAAGTATATTTTTATATTATGTATTTTTATGTACCCTGTATATACAAAATGGAGTTCATGTGGTATATACAGGGTAGGTCTTAAATAAGTGCAAATATTTTCAGGACCGGCGCGGCGCGGCGGTAGATCTTGACAAGATCTTGACAAAAGAAATACATTTTGTCTTTCCCGTTTTTCATATAAGTTAAAAACATCCAACATATTTTACTTTGAAAATTTAATAAAAATGAATGTTTGCTTAACATTTTGAGAACCACTGTTTTTTCTTCTCTATTTTCGTTACTCTATTTTAATCTTCTACCTATGTTGCCATTATTAATATACAGGGAGGTCCGAATTGTATTCCGGAAACTTCGGCAGCATATTCTGCAGATAAAACTAAGTAAGAAAGTTTGTATAAATGTATGTCCTAAAATGGGCTTAGTTTCGGAGATAAGGGTGTAGAAATTTCATTTTTATTTCGATTTTTTCCAAATGATTTCTTAACTAACATCGATATTTAGATAAAAATTGGGATCTAGAAGTTTTTTGACATGAGAAATTTGATTTTAATATCAATATGACTCCTATTTGTAGAGGGCGCTACCTACATATGTTTTAACTGGTTTGAAGAGTAATAACTTTTCGTCCGCACCTGTATAAAACTACGGAACTAAACTAAAAAAATATACATTTACGATGTTTTTCACGTAAAAAAGGATTCTTGGTAAAAATCGCTACGAGTAATGGTTCTCGAGATATTTGGAATCGAAATGATCAATACCTCTCTCATCATAGACACAAATTAAACACGTTGACTAAATAGTTATTAGACTGAAATGATAAATTTGAAATGATTTTGTGTTAAAAGTTCAACAGAAATTGTTTTATCATCATTTTTTCGAAGAAAAATTTATGATTAATTTAAAAAAATAAAAAGTTACCAAATTTATCATTTCAGTCAAATAACAATCTCCTCAACATATACATATGTTTATTTTTTGCCAATAATGCATGTATTGACTATTTCTATTCTAAATATCTTGAGAACGGTTGCTCGCAGCAATTTTTACCAAGAGATATTTTTTACGTAAAAAATCACAGAAATGTATATTTTTTCACTCAGTAGTTTTATACAGGTACGGACGAAAAGTTATTACACTTCAAAACAGTTAAAACACATGTAGGTAGCGCCCTCTACAAATAGGAGTCATATTGACCTCAAAATCAAATTTCTCATGTCAAAAAACTCCGAGACACAAATTTTCATGCAAATATTGACGTTAAAATTATTTGGAAAAAATTGAAATAAAAATGAAATTTGTGTGCACCCTGTATCTCCAAAACAAAGCATTTTAGGATATACATTTTACGAACTTTTTTACGTATTTTTATCTGCAGAATATCCTGCCGAAGTTTCCGGAATACAGTTTGGACCACGCTGTATACGTCTCGGTATACGTTATTTGAAAATTTTAAAAACTGAAAATTTTAAAATTTTCTAAAATTTTTTGGAAATATAAAATTAAAAAAAAGTTTTCACAAAAAAAATCATAAAAGGTTAAAAAACTTATGTTTTTTTTAACCTAGTATATTATTGTTTTAAATTATTTGCTTATATATTTATTTTCATTTTTAATATATAAGGTAAAAATGCATTTTTAAAATTTTTAATTTAAATAAAGCTAGTTTAAAAGGGTAATATTATTTTACTTAATTTAATTTAGCTAGATTATTTTGCTTTCCATAGTGTCATCTTAATAAAGTGCATTGAAAAGAAAGTTGTGGAACTTTAAGATAACATGCTGCCAATCTGAGTTATTGATATTTTTAATGCACTTGTGCAATACATAATTCTACATGCAGGAACTAGCACCTACTATAAAACGGCCGCTTTTTTTCCTTGTTTATGAAAATAAGTATACAGTTCAGTCATTGGGGATCAAAAAAGGGGCCTGCTTGGAAAAAAGTCCGGAAGTTTTGAAACTCTGCAAGTTTATAGGTTTTGGGGTCCCTAACTAAAATCCATAAAATGCACATTTCCAGACTTGCCGCCGGCGCCGCCATCTTGCCAAGATGGCGCCCAAAATCGGTATTTTGTGAATATCTCGAAAACTATGCGTTTTTCGCGAAAATTTGAGGAGAGCAAAATTAAAGAGAATGAAATTTCCTATAAAAAATGTTTCATAAAAATTTTCGCTAAAGTCAACCGTTTAAGCACAAAACCCCTGGAAATTTTACAATTTTGCGTAAAATATGATATATTATTGTTACGTTTTTCGTCGGTTCCATGTGGATAGAAAGTCACAATTTATTTAAACACAATTTATTTAACACTAATTAACAAAAACAATAACGATTAAAAGACTTAAAGAACTATTTATAACTTATTTACAATTTATCTAATAGAAATTTATTTTGAATTAGCGCGGCGATTGTTGACTGTTGATTGACTTGAAAAAATAAAACAAATTTTTGGAACTTATCAACAAATTAACATAAAATTTAAGTAATACTTTTATCTATGAACGCCAGTGCACTGTAAAAAAAATGAGTGAAATTTCACTCAGATTTCACTCAATACTTTCTCAATTTCTGTCCACACCCGATTGAGTGAAATTTCCACTCTATAGAACTGAGTGAATCTTCAATTCTCAGAGTGAAAAGCACTGAGTGTTTTTACTCAATCGGGATTGGACGAAAGACTCCTTTTTTACTCATTATGGTCTTATTTCGCACGACGGCGCCGAAAGTACTTGGCGCGTCCCTGCTTAATTCTATACATGAAAACCTCTATGGTATCGTGCTTTTACGTTTTCGATAAGTTATAAGATACCCGAGGATGGAAAAATGCATCATTTTAAATTCTAATTAGGCCAACTTCATTCTATTTAAATTTAAAAATTAAATTAAAAAAAAATAATTTTTAAATTTAAATAAAATGAAGTTGCCCTCTGTATCTCACATATTATCAGCTAATTTAGAAATCTAAAAATCCTATCAGATAGTCCTAATAAAGTGCCTATGAGAATGTGCAATTAGTTTTTTGATTTTCTAAAAAGTAACGAGAGGAAAAAATAAAATTGATTTTCAAAAAAATCCGTTTTTTCCGAAAAACTCATCAGTGCTTAAAATTTTTTAAACTTTTTTGATGGCATTTTGGTGGAGATTCCAAAGCGCAACTTTGCCCCAATTTAACCATTTTTGTATCTATTACGATTACCGAGATACCAATGCTCGTACCTCGAATTTGTATAGCACCCTGTATAGTCTGACCAACCTAAATTTTAGGTTTATTCCATAGAATTGTAATAAATGTATGTTATTGGACTAAGGATTTGATACCCTCATTTACGAGGGGTGTCTCTGTTGGAATTACATGTCGACTATAATAATTCTATGGCAGATATAATATTATTTTCTTTGCAGTCGTTGATAGACTATTTGCAGTAAAATAATATTTTGACAGTAAATGTATATTTTTTACCCAAGTGAGACAACCCTCTCTCAGCTATAAGTGATATAGTTATAAGCGTTAGTTCGTATTATAACAACAATCGAGAGATATACAGGTTGTTAATTTGTTTATTACTCGCGGCAAGAGCTTTATGGTTGAAATATGGCAACCTCGGCCCGCTCGTCGAGAGACGACGCGACGCGGACGGAACGAGTCGGCAGCTTAGCTTTTAGTACTTATTTGGAATGTTGTCATTCTGTTCCCCAATAAGTAACCGTCCAGTTAACAATCTGTATATCTACAATCTTTTGAGATATTACAAATAAAAGGTCAATTTATTAATGAATTATTCTATTTTTAAAAAGGTATTGGAACTATTCTGGGTGTTCACGCAGATGCCACTTGCGGAACATGCACCATAAGAATGCGAAAAAATAAAACATTATTTATATCAGCTTGTGATATAGCTATTGTGATTATTATAGCTTTATACGGAATATTGGCCATTCCATACAGAATGCGAACATTTATCAAGTTACTGGATATATGGACTAAGGTAAAATTATATTTTTATAATACCAAATTTAGTTGACGCTACAGCCTATTCATTGCTGATGATTACGATCATTTGCATGAAAATCTACGTGCTACACAGGGTGGTCCGAATTATATTCTGGAAACTTTGGCAGCATATTCTGCAGATAAAAATAAGTAAAAAACTTCGTATAAATGTATGTCCTAAAATGCTTAGTTTCGGAGATACAGGGTATAGAAGTTTCATTTTTATTTCGATTTTTTCCAAATAATTTCTGAAGTAACGTCAATATTTGGATGAAAATTGGTATCTGGGATTTTTTGACATGAGAAATTTGATTTTGTTGTCAATATGATTCCTACTTGTAGAAGGCGCCACCTAAATATTTATTAACTGCTTTGAAGAGTATTAACTGTTCGTCCGTACCTGTATAAAACTACTGAGTACAAAAACAATCATTTATGACGAAGTATGAAGTTATCTTGGTAATCGCTACGAGTAATGCTTCTCGAGATATTTGGAATCGAAATTATAAATCCTACCTGTCATCAGTGACATAAATTAAACATATTGACTAAATAGTTATTAGACTGAAATCATAAATTTGAAATATTTTTGTGCCAAAAGTTCAACCAAAACTGTTTTATCGTCATTTTTTCACAGAAAAATTTATGATTAATTTAAAAAAAATAAAAATTTCCCAAATTTATTATTTCAGTCAAATAACTATCTACTCAACGTGTTCATTTTTTTGTCAATAATGACATGTATTGATTATTTCCATTTTAAATATCTTGAAAACCGTTGCTCGCAGCTATTTCTACCAACTGGCATTTTTGCACTCAAGCTAAGCATTTTAGGACATAAGTTTATACGAACTGTTTTACTTATTTTTAACTGCAGAATATGCCGCCGAAGTTTCCGGAATACAGTTCGGACCATCCTGTATAATCTGGCATGTATACGCGAACAATAATTGCAGTACTTGACATGCGAATACTGAAGAAAAAGTTAAGATGACCTGGCAATAAATAAGTTGTGGTTGACATTAGATACTTTCTTTTATAAATAGTTACATGAAGGGCAAGAGGAAAATACTAACCATGTCCATTTTATAGGAATTTTTAAGTAATCAACTTAATCTGTGGAGAATACCAACTTTCAAACACATGCTAAGTTATAATTGAATGTTGGCTTGGCGTATTTCAGTTGATTTTTAAAATTTCGACAGCAGGGCACGGTACGGCAGAAACCAAAACTTTCCTGCTCTGTATTTCATGCAGTTAGGGTTACCGTTTATATTGATCACATTGAAATAATATTAAAATCATGATTTTGTCATATATTTAAATATTATAGTTTTTACTATTAAATTAGCTACTAGTTATTGAAACTACAAAACTCTTAGGTACGAAGTTTGTGTGATGTAACGCTGTTTCGGGTAGTAAAAATTAAGTGAAACAGAACCCAAACTGGGCGACGCGTTATGTTGTGGCAATTTCAAATAATAACGAAATTGCCGAAAGAGTGTCAACACGAAAAGGAGAGCATATAGGCCAGTCAATCTGGAGGTTGAGGTGGAAAAAATTAGTAACCAACCGATCTCAACGGGAATGTGTAGATAATGATCTCCTATTTAACCCCTCAAAAGTCCCATTCGGTCCCAGTGGGGGAAGTTTGAAAAAAACCGCCGCCATCTTGGAATTTTTTGGTTTTTTTTCAAATATCTCCGTTTGCATAACTTTTTTCGAAAAAACTAAAGATATGTTTTTTGTAGAGAATTAAATTTAGAATAACCTTCAGTCATTTTTTTTTTCTAAAATGAAAACTAATAGAGATAAAGCCATATTTTACTATACGTTTTATAAATTTTCCATCAGCTTTAATTTTTGCGTTAACAGTATAGTGTTAATATAGATAACCAAGCGAGACCAAGTATAAATTTAAGCATTAAAACAATTAAAAATAACGTTTAAATATTATTTATTACTAAAATTATTTTTTTGCAATTGCAAAGACAGTGCTCTAAAAATTGCTCTTGTAGAAAACTGGGTCTTAAATGTTTTTCAAAGTGTGGTTAGTGCTACGGAATCAGTTGCACAAACTTTTGTATTTCAGTTGAGAACGAAAATGACGCTCTGGATGGCGTCATAACAGATTTCATTTAATAAATTTAATTTAATAATAATTTTTTTAACAATAATTTTATTTAATAAATAATGTTTAAACGTTATTTTTAATTGTTTTAAAGCTTAAATTTATACTTTGTTTATCTATATTAACACTATACTGTTAACGCAAAAATTATAGCTGATTGGTTTAAAAAAACTGGAAAATTTATAAAACGTATAGTAAAAAATTGCTCTATCTTTATTACTATTTATTTTAGAGAAAAAATTAATAAAAGTAAAATATTCTATATTTAATTCTCTATAAAAAAATTATCTTTAGTTTTTTCCAAAAAAGTTAAGTAAACGGAGATATTTGAAAAAAACGAAAAAATCCAAGATGGCGGCGGTTTTTTTCAAACTTCCCCCCTGGGACCGAATGGGACTTTTGAGCGGTTAAATAGGAGATAATTATCTACATATTCCCGTTGAGATTGGTTGGTTACTAATTTTTTCCACCTTTACATATAATACTCGGCTACGTTTACTGGCCTAATAATTGAAGGGGTGGCTACAATAACCAGGCAGCTTCACTTTTTCACGCAACAGAGATATTGTTACTGAGTTACCCTTTAAAAATAGTTCTATCGTACCCTGCAATAATCAGGTGTTTTTATATAATAGCCACTACATAAGGCAACGTTATTGGAGCTACCTTGCTTTGGGTTTGCAGCAAGACCCGGCGGACAGTCCTTAGAGCTGTCAGGACCACAATGATGTTAGTGTCTTCTTCAAAAGCCCATATATCCAACAAAAATTAAGCTATTGATATACAGGGTGAGTCTTAAATAAGTGCAAATATTTTCAGTGCTGGTAGATCTCGATAAAAGGATCATATTTGTGAAGCTCTTTACCATTTTCAGATAAGTCCAAAATAACCGAGTTATTTAAGTTAGTTTGAAAATTTAAAACAAATGATTTTTTTTGAAAAAATTTTGAGAGCCACCGGATTTTTTTCTGTATTTGCATCCCTTTTATTACCGGAACCATGGAGTAAAGCCGTAACTATGGTAATATCAGAGATTAAGAAATTATACCGTGGGAAAATTTGCGGTGAACAGGCAGTTCTAAAAAGTTTTCTAAAAATATACAGAGAAATTTAAAAGAAAATGCACGATTTCAACATCATTTTTTAGCGAAAAAACCTCATAGACGTCGCGTTGTGTTCCTGTGGTCAAAATATACAACCCATGAAAATATTTGCACTTATTTAAGACTCACCCTGTATAAAGCTAGTGAATAATAACACTAAAAAAGGTAAGAAATTAATCCTGTATACTGTTTTTCAGATCGACAACGTTATACCAATATCAAACCACCAGAAGTACAGGAAGAAGTCGATCGTTTTTCTATTAACAACTTTGTTAAATTTCACTGCGTTATTTCTTTTCGATATCATATTTTATTGTTTTCCAAAAGGAATTACTATTACCATGCGTGGAATGGTAGACAGATCCATATTCTACTTGAAAAAGTACACAACTTATTACTTACTGTACTATATAATAGTATTTCAAGAAATTTTCTATTGGCATCTGATATCTTATATTCACATTCGAATGTCCAGTTTAAATAGGAATTTGAGGAAAGAGAAACAGGCGATTTCATGTTTGTTTAGGAAGATCTTTACTATTCGACAAAAATCAACAATAATTGTTAACAAAATCGAGCTCAAATCGAACGAATCTCTTAAATTTGAAAGAAACATAGGTAAGTACAATGTAGGACACCGTGAGACAGACAAAGAACGTCCTTGCTGATTTAAAACATTTCTATAAAGAATTTGGAAACAATTTTGTGTTTTACATTTCTTAATTTATTAATCTACGACAATGTCATTATGACACATTTAACATTGTCATTTGGATCTCATTATGGCTTTCGTAATAGCACTAGCAATAATAAATAATAATATTATAAGTCTTTTATCTATGTAGCACTAGTGCTATTATGAATTCATAATAACACGCAAATTTTAAAATAAGAAACAAGCAAAAAAAGGTACCTAAATACGTCTATTTATTGTAAACATTAATTATAATATCAGTACAATTGGTTAAATTAATTCCAGACGATGACAGGTGAGTTGAATTTTTAGAAAGTAAATTTTTATTGCAAATTAACATTGCCAGAAATGTTACCCAAAATATTACATGACACTTTTTTCTTATTTTCTTTGGAATTTTCTATATAGCTCTCTGCCACTGTGTTAGAGCGCCAACCACCATGTCTTTTAACAGATAATAAATCCACTCCTGAATCTGCAAGCAACGACGCAGACGATCTACGGAAACAATGTCCAGTGTATTGTTGAGGATTTGGAAGACTTAGGAACAATGCTATTTTATAAGGCATTTTCCCTAAAATATTAATGCCAGCGGGTTGCTTAATACATTTTCCATTTCTGTACCCCACAAAAAATCGAGTATGCTTTCTGTTGCTTGGCCGCATAGCTATATATCTTCGAACCATTTCCACCATATTTATTCCTTCAACATTCCCTTTCGTTATAAAAAAATCTCGTGATATCTTTGTTTTCGTAAATGGAATAATGACATGAATGCATTGTCCTTCATCTTTAATATTTTGCAGCTGCAGATTTGTCAACTCGATAAGCCGCGCCGGCAGGCTCCCGCATGTCCCACTATCAATGAAGGTTTTGTCAGGAAATAAGTTTTATCATCAGCTTCCAACAAAAAACGAGTTATGTCTTCTTTTCTTAAAATTCTCGATTTTTTTGACCGAAATCCTTCCGATTTTCTTTTTAGATATGCAATTAAATGGACGTACTTACTAATATCTGTATTTTTCTTCACTGATATAACTGAACGTAGCATGGAATAATATACCCAAAGTGATGAAGCCTTCCTATGTTTTGAAAGATGTTCAAAATATGTCAGGAGAACCTTTTCGTTACTACCTATTCTTGATTCCTTTCCCTTAACCCCTAATCTTCAAGTTTTACATAGGCTTGCTCGTACGTTTGTCTTGATTTTTCGGGAAGTAGGGAATCGACAACGTTTTGCGCAATGCCTTCAATATCCGAAAGGACACTTTCAGAATCAGAATGGGAATCCCCTGAGTTCCGAGCGTCGACGCATCGGCCCGGAACGAAGCGGTTTGATCTTGATTGAGATCGTTTCGGTTACCCAGTAGTAATGTGTCGATCCCGCAGTAATGACGTCTAGGGCTTGACCTTGCCAAAATTGTCATTCCCCAGCCGTCTTTGACGCCGTTTTTTTTTTCGATCGTATGGTACAATTACTTTAAAACCTAGAATTATCTTATAGTAGTTTGTATTGAATAGGTGTTAGGAAGTATTAAGAATTGTAAGTTTTTTTTTAATGATTTTAACTACTTAACTAACTCTCTTCTGTTATTTTTAACGACATTTTCAAAATAATCGAAAATCAACAATTAGAAGAATATTTTCACCTATTTTTCTGTTTTAGCAGACAGAATGATAGAACTATTAACGGTATATGGAAGAATTAGAGAATCCGTTGAAATTGTCAATTCAACTGCGTCTTATGGAGTTGTAGTAAGTAATATCTACCAATATATAACCACAAAAAGAACTTAAATCGTATTAAATGTTTTTTTTTTCAGTTGTTAATATTAAGCTGTTTACTTCATTTGATTGTGACCCCGTACTTTTTATTGATTGAAATAATCAAAGCAAGAAGTAATATGTTTATTGGCTTACAAGCGTTATGGCTAGCTGCACATATTGGTAGGCTGCTCATTATGGTTGAACCATGCCAGAAATGTTTAAATGAGGTATAACATCAGAACTAGGGTTAACATTTTACATGATACTGAAAACACAAACTTCGTACTTTAATAATATTGTTGCATCGAAATTATATTGTTTATCATTATAATTATAAGAACAAACGACTTACCTGTAGGAAGTTCGTTCTGAATTATATGAGTATCCTCGTCCAAATAGATATACACCCGTAGTATCATTATCATACTTTATCGAGCACATTTTATTCCCAATTACGTAAAGAATGCATTTTTTGTTAGCCATAGGCCTTAGTCATCCGTACCCGACCGTCAGTCTTCTCATAACATTATTTTGCTTTCAAATCAAAAAAAGAATTTCTTGGGAGGGCTAGTATTGGTAGGGTCGGGACCTATCTATTTGGACGAGGATACTCATATAATTCAGAACGAACTTCCTACAGGTAAGTCGTTTGTTCTTATAATTATATTTCGTATCCTCGTCCAAATAGATATACACCCGTAGATGTTGAAAGAAAAGAAATTCTTTTGTGACAGTTTATATTTTGCTATTTTTTTTAAAACAGGTGATGTAAAATATACATAATCGTATAACATAACTATAAACGTATATTTAAATATAATATGTCAAACCCACAAAACAAAAATATATATAATCTACTTCTACATACATGTTATTATAATATATAACAAAATAGCAACAAAAAATTAATGTAATATAATATGCATCACATAATTATGATTCTAAATTAGTAAAACCAAACCAAACACATAGTAGTAGTATAACACATACATATTATACTAAGGGTCGGCATTTTTGGTCTTGGGCGCCGGTTTTCATGTGTACGAAGAGTACCGTCAACACGCTTAGTAAAATAAGATATACTGAAAGGCGAGTATTTTCCCAAGCGCATGGAATCTAGCGTCAGATTAAGTAGTTATGTAATAAATACTTCCTATTTTTGCTCACTCCGACTTACTAGATTGCCATAACGACTCACTCCTATACATGTAAACGCCGACCTAAAGGTTCGCTTGCCAGCGGGGTATTAGTATAACACAAAAACATTTAATGTTTTTGTGTATCGTTTTTTTTTTATAATCGCAACACAGTCCCTTTTACCTAATTTTGTGTTTTGTTTAATTTGTATATTAATATATAAAAAAAGGTAAATAAACTATTTGAATTTGAATAAGAATATAAGTATTTACATTAACATTATAGTACCTATTTATTACATTAACAGAATAAAGAGCAACTTACTAGAGCAGTTTATAATGACTATACTTACTTCCTGCCTGTTTTTATAAAGTTATTTTTTTTTCCTTTATTCAGTGGACGATTAATTTTTTGAAATACTTTTGATGTTGATGTCCACACTATGGTATTCTTTATTTGATCTATATTAAATCCCTTTCTGTAGGCCGCTGAAGACGTCGCGTATGTAATACTATGAGTACTAAACAGTTTTGTGTTGATTCCACTTTCGTTTAACACCTCCTTTATCCAGCGACTTATAGACTGGGAACTTGCCACTTTGTGGTTTTGTTGGGTTTTTTATGAGTAAGAAAAAGATAATTCTCTTCCCCTCTTAATGATTCAGTTCTTTTTAGGTAAGCTTCTAAAGTGCTGGCAAACATAAATCTTAATAGAAGAGTCGTCTACTTTAGCTATATTTTTTAGTGTCTGAATTCTCTGTCCAGTTGCAAGAATTAGGAGAGTAGCAAGCTTTTTTGTGAGCAATTCTAATGAAAAATTCGAGTGGACACCATCTTTTTATAAATTCAAGGACAAGTCAAGGACAATCGACGATTTCCAGATTTTAGTAGTGATAAAATTAAGGTGCAAATATTTTACACCTCCCATTCTATTAGTATATGATATTCTTGGTCTCAAAAACCTCTAGCGTTTAAATAATTACAATAGGTACCCTAACCCGATTTTGATGCATCAATAACCTAGTAAGTAAGAGTATATTGAGGAGGCATGAAATTTTGACCTGCATATTCTGTGTTTCTGAGTCACCAGCCGTAAACTTCAGAAAAAAAAACTTGTTGGCACAAAGAACCGCATTATAATTTTCATTATTTTCCTTAAGGGCTTTGTATTTAGCTCATTCAAATCTCTTAGTATCTATAAAATCAGCTGTATTTATCTGCGGGACAAAAAGAAATTAAAGTGCTTGTAAGTTGCTAACAAACCATCTTATAGTTAGTATGGATACATACTATCTATTTTCTGGAAAATTTCAGCACTAACATTTTAATCTTACATTTCTTTGTGTCTGTATGATATATTTTCATTAATTTTGTATTTAAGATAAAATCTAAGTATGAAATTTCTTGAGTAGACGTGAAGATACTCTTTTTTTTTTATTTATTTATTTACTTATTTTTTTTTTATTTTTTTTATTTTTTTAATTTATATTTCCAGTACATTCCGCTAAATGTTTGTCTAATAAAAGAACATCGTCAAGATAGTTTAGTCACAATCAAAAAATGTTTTCCCTTAAACAGTTGTTAATTACCTGTGTTCAGGGGGTTGAAAAACATATGCATAGTGCAAATTCCAAGAAAAAGAGCTTAAAATTCATTTTTTTTATTACTATTATTATTATTATTATTTATATTTTAAAAGTATAATTTAAATTCCAGTTTTCTGCAATGAGAGTTTCTGGATAACTATATTGTTTAGGTTAGTCTAAAATTTTAGGTTTAGGTCTACTAGTTTAGGACCTAAAAGGTATCGTAATCGCAACCATATTTATTATAACCTTTTAAATAACTTAAAACAAGTTTGTTATGTGTTATTTTCAACCATTGGCTGTAAATAGTCAATTATACCAGCATATTTGTTTTAGTTCTAACCTGAATATTGTCTCCTCCAATACATTCTGCCTTCTTTGGAACTCTTGATCCCCCTCGTTCTAAAATGACTCTTCTAGAATTTCCCCTTCCTATCTTCTCATTATTCTGTCTGTGGACCTTCACCTGGATCTCAAAGCACTCGTTTTAAGTGTTTTGATTTCTGAGATGAGCCTGCCCTAGTATTTTCAACATTCTTGGCTTCTATGCATTTTCACTAAAACTTTACTAAGAAGCAAATCATCGCTTATTTGGCCAATCGCCATGCTTTTAGTTTTGCTATTCAAGTGTGAATTTAATAAAAAAAAGAAAACCTTACAATGGTTCGTATAGTAGACTTCTCCCTAACATAACGATTTCCTTAAATCTATCAGACTTTAAGGGCAACTGCAACCTTGGTTATTTTCTTTGAAAGTTCCACTAACCTTGTAATTGTTTGGTCTGAGTGGTGACATTGTTTTACCTAAAAACGTGCTGTAGGTCTATCAAAAAATAATATATTTCTTACTTTCTGTTGAAGAAAACATTATTTGGACCTCCGGATTTAACCTCGGTCCTTAAAATATACCGCAATTGCTGGGGATGGGAAAAATATTTTAGACTGTCTTTCGTTTCTGTAATTTTAAGAAAGATAAGCATCCACCTAATTTCAAGTGTGTCACATATTTTAGGTCCTACTCCTACATAGATCTTTCTCTCTCTCTCGAATTTGAATTAATTTATTTTTTTCTAGATTTGATTCCAAGAACGATTGGAATTAAATAAATATAAGTTTATTGTAAGCCATAATAATGTAAATACAATTTTTTAACCAATTTATGCTATATTGCAACCAAAAGATCTCTTAATTTGTAATGTAATTATATAACATGTAATTCTAAGACAAATCTTAATATAAACTCACTATCTGAATCTGTACCTTTAATAATAGACAAAAAAAAACATTTTTGGACAGCGTTTAAAATATTTTTTAATAAAATATTTTATAAACTCAGCCTAAGCCTTGTATATAAGAATATATAAACAAGGGCCTAAAGTACATTTGTGTAACTTCAGCAGTTCCTCGTCCCCATAGCAAGATGTTTAGTTTAAGCCTTGGTGAATCGATAGCAGTCCTTACTTAGCATTTTAGTCACCTACTCATTTTTGTAAACAAATAGCCTTGGGGTTTTTATTATTAAACAGATTCAGATTCGTTTTGACCTGTCTAAAAAAATAAAGTTCATTATTTTATCAAAAGTGAGCAAAAAACACTCTAGAAAATGGAAAATCAACTCAGTATCGTTGCGTCATCTGCCGCTGTGAAAGCACTCCGTTCGGTGCAGGTTGGCCGGGTATAACATAATAGTTGCCTGTTTGAATACAAGCTTTTATTTAATCAAAACTGCAAAGCAGAATTAGTTCAAATACAGCCACAGAATAAAGGATCCGATATCTAGATCATTTTACAGTTCTGAGACATACTAGCGTAAATATGAGTGAAGGACTAATGCTGGGTTTCAATTGTGTATATGAGCATATGCTTACATCCACAAAGGTGAATTAATACCCAAGCGGAGTAAATATTAGACAATATCATAATACTTGTCTCAATTTTCAATTCCAGCCGGAAAATACAGATCATAATTAATGTAACCCACGTGTATATATTATATCAGGGTGGATTAACCCAGTTAGTAATTAACTAAAAGTAAATCTGTTTACCTCTTCTATCTCTGAAAATATATAATTGCACTTTCAGTACGCCCCCTGTTGACAAAAAATAGCTTTAACAGTTATAAGCTATTACATGCAATTTGAGACTTAACAGTTATGTCTCTTTTATATTTGGCTTTAACATTTATAGCCAGTATCTACAACAGTATTTAGAAACTCACTTTCGTTCTCATCACTAGTACTACTGTACACTCTTGAGCATGTTGTTGATCCAAAAATCCAATTTTTCTTCAAGAGATGTTCTTTCTTTCTTTCCAGCTCATTTTCATCACTCACTAGCACTTTAAGGTACGTTTATTACACGGCATTTTATATTGCTTCTAACTATACTGTTTACTCGACAAAGCACAATAATGTTATGAGAAGACTGACGGTCGGGTACGGATGACTAAGGCCTATGGCTAACAAAAAATGCATTCTTTACGTAATTGGGAATAAAATGTGCTCGATAAAGT